GTGGGCTAGGTAAGACTTCGTGTAGTTACCTTACATACTTCCACAAATATTCAGTAATATTCAAGGATTCAAGGGAGTCAGAGATTGAGGTGAAAGGTCATGATAAAGTCACGTGACTCACAAATGTACAGCATATGTAAGGCGTGACTGCGCTAATATATAATAATACCCACTTGTAACATTCAATACATCAATATACGTGTTAATCATAAACTACAATTCTTTTCTTATACAGAAATTGTAAAAGGGTACTTTGCTATATCAAAGATCATCTCATCATTATAAGAGTTTAACATGCTTACCATGTCATGACTAACAACATTGGTGAGATGCTAATATGCTGACAAATATTTGCTTCTTATCTGTGACAGACCCGTAAAGATTCCGGGGTAGAATAGGTCATCAGCAACCCATACTTGCTGTATATATACTATGCTTGTCGTGAAAGGCGACTAACGGGATCGGGTGGTCAGCTGCAGGCTCGCTGACTTGGTTGAAGCATGTCATCGATCCCAATTGCGTGGATCGATGCTCATGATATTAATCACTGGATTGTGTGGTCAAGGCTTGATTATTTACAGACCGCCGCCATTTAGCTGGAATATTGCTAAGTGCGGCGTTAAACAACAAACCAACCAATCTTATCTGTGAGTACAGAGGACAATTGTGAATTACGTGCGCTTCATCTTCAAATACTTTCTGGGCACACAAACTCGCCCTCAGTGGGCCTGCTTCTCCTCTATTTCTGAATGCCCAATCAATTATAACCGACTCTTGATATTAGCAGTCCATTTAAATACTTGGAGATATTAATATTTACTATATATTTTTCAAGTTGTTAGGATGGCTTTATACATGAATAAAATACGAAACAGGGAAGTTATTAGGTCCCCGAAAGGCATGTTTCAGACTATATGCTTACTTCTTCATCAGGTGAACATATACTCCGAAACGTTGTGTACCTCATGATAAAGAAGCTGACATCCATAAATTCTCTTCCTTCGGGATGTTATCGTTGAAGAGTGCCAATATTGAACGTTGCAATCTCTAATTCTTTGTTTAAATAATTAAATATACGAATCTGTGTTACCTACACCTGACGCTGTCCAGGCATATCCAATACTATAGCTATGATTGCACGTTACTCGCCTCTTACGACATGCACGTGTTGTTAAAGACTTATTCTAACTTCACTTAAATATGTTCGAGACAACAGACTTACCTGAGGTGAAAAAAAGATAAATCATGAAAGAATTCGTCGGAAACAGACAATCAGTTCGTCACAACCGAGACTTCGGTACATCAGAGTTCGACACAACTGTGTTTGACTGTATCTGTAAACTTTCGCTTCAGAAACCTTTGTGGTACTTTAATGAGTAACAAGTCTCTCATACTTAAGAAAGGCGGGTTTGTTTATTTCGTTGGTTTACATATACGCTGATACATAATGCATATATGTCGAATGAAATGTTTCCTTTTGACAATGAGATCCGTGAAGATCCGGGGTAGAATAGATCTTCAGCAACCCATGCTTGTCGTAAAAGGCGACTATGCTTGTCGTAAAAGGCGACTAACGGGATCGGGTGGTCAGGCTCGCTGACTTGGTTGATACATGTCATCGATCCCAATTGCGTGATGCTCATGATATTAATCACTGGATCGTGTGGTCCAGACTCGATTATTTACAGACCGCCGTCATATAGTTGGAATATTGCTGAGTGCGGCGTACAACAACAAACCAACCAACCAACCAACTTTTGACAATGACGTTAGTAAAAAACTATCAAAGAAGTCCAACTGTCATGTAACAAGGGAAGTAACCGTTTGACTTGTCATTCAAAACACAAACACAGTTACTCTTGTTTACTCCATCTACATTTTTTCAATGTTTTTCAACTCTCGGGCGACCTGGTCAGAGAAATGCACTGCTTAAGGAATAATTACACATTGCGATCAATGGTCGAGTAAAGGTCTTGTTTGCTTTTCCCGTTGCTAAATAAAGGTGAAATCATATTTTACGAGCGCTTCACTTTCCTTAACTGTTATCTCTTCCCTTTTTTCTGTGTTTGACATCCCCCAACCGGTTTTCATTCCTTTGAAGGTCGAGTGTTTTTATTCTCTAAATAACGCCCACTATCCAGTCACGTCACCGTGCTGCTTGTTAGCTATAACGATATATCTGAACGTAAATGTTGAACATATAATTTAATGAAATTTGTAGTCTTGTTAAAATCACATATTTCTCATGACTCGCCTGCCCCCAAATGTCCTTAAAAGCTATAATTTCTCTACACATATTTATAACGAAAGGTCGGTATATCTACGGTAAGTCTTACCAATATATAATTTATGCGATTACAAGGAATATTATTTCGAACCATGTCAAAGAAAACGTATCTGAAACATATATAACGCAGCTATCGGATACTACTGTCAAGCTTTGTATAGTCGTAGGGTTGAAGAAAGTATGAATGATATATAAATATAATCAAAATGACATTTTTTAAAAGTAATATTTCTTTAATGTGTATTGACACATGGCGAGGTTTGATGAACATTCTTGCATCCTGTAAAAGTTTTAGTAAAACTTTGAAATATTGTTACGATAAAAAAAAAACATTTATCGGACATGCCCACATGCCCAATTATCCTTTCTATATATTTCAAGCAGATATTTTTGATGATGTACATGTACATAAAATTCTACGAAAATCAGCTTGTGCCAAACCTTTCAAATCAACCTTTTCTAATGATGTAGCATACTTATATATTTTGCCATGTCCGGACCCTATACCTTGCATATAATAGTTCTGACTCACCATGTCAGAACAGGTTGGTTGCTTTTTTGTTTAACGCCGCACTCAGCAGTATTCCAGCTATATGACGGCGGTCTGTAAATAATCGAGTCTGGACCAGACAATCCAGGGATTGATATCATGAGCATCGATCCAAGCAATTGGGATCGATGACATGCATCAACCAAGTCAGCGAGCCTGACCACCCGATCCCGTTAGTCGCCTTTTACGACAAGCATAGTCACCTTTTTACGGCAAGCATGGGTTGCTGAAGACCTATTCTACCCCGAAATCTTCACGGGTCTCAGGTATTCTATTCTATCAAAATGCCTGTGTCTCCAGATCGCGAGAAGTCCTCATCGAAAGCTAATGCATGTAGTTTTTTGCCGCATAACCAGAGTACCGGGGCTTCAGTAGGGATATGCAGATTTGAACAGATAACGTACGTAAACTTTGCTAGAGATAAATATCATCATTGAGTTTTGGTCACGTGGTTACACAATACGATCGACAGTCTGATGACTGCGAGTGACACAATTTAGCAGCATGTGCAGGGTACGTATATCACCAGCACGAAATGGAAGAAAAATACATGCAAATGTATTTAATGCGCAATGAAGTGCTATATATAACCGCCTGCTGTTAACTGACTGTCAATTCTTACCCGGAATGTAACCACGTGATCAAAACTCAATGACGACGTTTGTCTCTAAGAAAATGGATTATTTGGATTATATTTAAAAGCGCACGTTGCAATTTTTGTCATTACTGTAAGTAATACTAGTATTCCTTATCGGCGGAATGGGTGTTTTCACTTTATAAGTATTAGCACAGTATATATCTTCATTAATTAATCGACCCGTGAAGATCCGGGGTAGAACAGGTCTTCAGCAACCCATGCTTGCCGTAAAAGGTGACTATGCTTGTCATAAGAGGCGACTAACGGGATCGGGTGGTCAGGCCCGCTGACTTGGTTGACTTGCATGTCATCGTATCCCAATCGATGCTCACGATGTCAATCACTGGATTGTCTGGTCCAGACTCGATTATAGACCGCCGTCATATATATGGGATATTGCCGAGCGCAGCGTTAAACAACAAACAAACAAACAAACAATCATTAATTAATTAATCATCGCGATATTTCGTGGTTCTATTTCATGTGGCGAGGACTATTGGTTCATCGAATGTTGTTGCCGTAAAAGGCGACTATGCTTATCGTAAAAGGCGACTAATGGGATCGGGTGGTCAGGCTCGATGACTTGGTTGATCCATGTCATCGATCCCAATTGCTTGGATCGATGCTCATGATATTAATCACTGGATTGTCTGGTCCAGATTCGATTATTTACAGACCGCCGCCATTTAGCTGGAATATTGCTGAGTGCGGCGTTAAACAACAAACCAACCAACCAACCAACCAACCATTGAATGATGGCGTGGTTTAGGTTTGGTTTGATCACTGAAACTGAATAGCATAAGAAACTATATCTTTCAGCTGATGTTATCATTATTGTAATGTTAATCTTTACGTCAGCGATATCATGTTTGAAACATGAACTGTACTGGCGTTCTCAAAGACTACTTCTACATGGTTTCATTTATAAAAATATAATTTAATTTTATACTATTAAAAATTAAAAAAGTTAATTCGCATGATGCACAACTGCCGAAGGGTATCTTTTTCCGACACAAATTTGCAAGATTTCAAATGTCATGTGGTTGCCAATTCATTTCTTACGCCAGTCTTCATTGAACCAATCTATTGTTACACAACATTATCCAGCTACAGATTACATTTTACAAAATGTTGCAGGAATGAGTGATGGTTAGATACTAGACATAATCAAATTTAACAACAGTTCTTTCAATTGCCAAGGGGCGGTGGGGGTAGCCTTGTGGTTAAAGCGTTCGCTCGTCACGTCGAAGAGGCGGGTTCGATTCCCGACATGGGTACAATGTGTGAAGCCCATTTCTGGTGTCCCCCGCCGTGATATTGCTGGAATATTGCTAAAAGCGGCGTGAAACCATACTCACTCACTTCAGTTTTGAATTACATTTAAAAAAAACTCGGTATACGTTCAAAGCTCCGTCGCTAGCAGTTAATATCTTAATATTGTCGGATATAAACCGTATAATGTACCCATAACCTTGATAAGTTTCTCTAATCAGGGTAGATAATCTAGCACAGTGTCATGTGTCATCGTCGCGCGGTCGCCACATGACCTATCGTCTGCTCCTTTCTGTCTAGCAGACGATATTTCAAGAGAGGCGGAAGGATACACCTCAAATGTCGGACATGGAAGAACCGAACGAACGAACGCCAATATTGAGAAAAAACAGGTAAGGTTTACTCAGTAGATATAGGCTATGTTTAACCACAGACTGATTCACGAAGCAAACTTGACGGACATTGCATCCCATTACGGTGGCTTAGATATCCCGTATCACCAAGATGTGAAGTGATCGCATGCTTACCGTAAACTCTCGTGGTAGGCTTTATAAGTATGGCTACTTGAAGTTTGATTTGACAAATAATTAATTTTCATGCTCTAACAGTTGACATAATAATATGTTCAGGATAAGGCTTGAATTAGTTTAAGAGAGAGGGTAGTGTTTTATTTAAATGTGATGTGTATTATAAACGGGTAAATGCGCAATTAATAAAACATCCCGCAAATCACTGGTCTGTGAGACAATATATCCTGGTCACTGCCATTCCTGACACACACTTGTATAATAGGTGTACAAACACACGTTTGTTTATTTGTTATATTTCGCACTCAGTAATATTCCAGCTATATGACGGCGGTCTGTAAATAATCGAGTCTGAACCAGACAATCCTGTGATTGACATCATGAGCATCGATCCACGCAGTTGGGATACGATGACATGCATCAACCAAGTCAGCGAGGCTGACCACCCGATCCCGTTAGTCGCCCCTTACGACAAGCATAGTCGCCTTTTAGGTCAAGTGGGTTGCTGAAGACCTATTCTACCCCTGATCTTTACGGGTCCGATGTTTTCATGAACATATAAGGTTGCAAATAAAATGGGTTGCTTCTTAACCCGCTAACCCGCCCCAAAATAACAGCTCATGTGGTAAGCGCCATACAATCGGCGTGTGTTACTCAAACAGTCTTCACCCATCCCTTCTTTACCCGCGTCCATAGCCCATAGTCCGTAGCTTGACGGTCGTTCAAAACGAGGCGGTGGGAGCAGCTGATAGTATCATGATATATGAGCATCGATCCACGCAATTGGGAATTGTATTATGAGTTGTATTGACATTTTGATGAAGTTTCGAGGGATAGATGCCAATTTTTGTAGAGGCAGTAGTATACTCTTAAAAAATCAACTCTTCGCGTAGCCATGCAAACCAAGCCCTCATTGAAAGTCTTATGACGGTTGTTGTTTTATCACTGTCATCCAGTGACTTGAGCATAACATATTCACACATATTTAGAGGGAGAAGTATAGAGGTAGTAATATATATTACAAAGCATGAGATTCAAAGAATGATTGACTCGGGTGTAAATAAGAGAGACATAACCCTTTCAATAACCATATCATTTGTTTGTTTGTTTGTTTGTTTGTTTGTTGTTTAACGCCTCACTGAGTAATATTCCAGCTATATGACGGAGGTCTGTATATGATCAAGTCTGGACCAGACAATCCAGTGATTGACATCATGTGCATCGATCCAGGCAAATGGGATACGATGACATGCATCAACCAAGTCAGCGAGGCTGACCACCCGATCCCGTTAGTCACCTCTTACGACAAGCATAGTCGCCTATTACGACAAGCATGGGTTGCTGAAGACCTATTCCACCCGGATCTTCACGGGTTACACACACACACACACACACACACACAGAGAGAGAGAGAGAGAGAGAGAGAGAGAGAGAGAGAGAGAGAGAGAGAGAGAGAGGACGGTGATCAATTGGTATTTGCTTAATCCGGATTAAAGTGGCGTCGTCTCCAAAGCAAAGAATAAATAATTCAAGGTTCACAAAATAAGATGTTTTATTACATAGCCTACATGAATGTGTAAGTCACAGTTTATTTTCATATTACCCTACACTACAGCTAACTCACTCATTTGGATATCGTTAGAGCACATTCCCAATTTGCCACTAAATAATAGGAGTTAGATAACCATTTTTTTATTTATTTATAACATAGCTTACACGATGACCCCCAACCACCGAATCCCAACCCCACCCAACTTCCAAACGGTTGGAGCTTCGAAAGATACTCCACTGGAACGTGCGCATATACCACACGCACGCACGCACGCACGCATACGCATACGCACACGCACACATAAATAAAGATGTTGAAGGGGATTAGCCATCAGTTGTGCTGATTATTTATAGCAGTGTAATACTTTCAATAATAAAAAATAGAAAACAGACCAAATATGTTAAGCATAATTACATTTTTATGATATGTTATCAAATATCAAAATTAACCTAATGGCAAATTCCTGATATAACGGGTTGTTGATACTTAATTTTACTGAAAGCATGTCTTGATGATGGTGAGATATGTTAAAACATAAAACCTTGATGACAAGTGAGTGAGTGAGTATGGTTTTACGCCGTTTTTAGCAATATTCCAGCAACATCACGGCGGGGGACACCAAAAATGGACTTCACACAATGTACCCATGTCGGGAATCGAAACCGGGTCTTCGGAGTGACGAGTGAACGCTTTAACCACTAAGCTACCCGACCGCCCCTGATGACAAGTGACTGTATCACACTTTGATGACAACCCCACACCTCCACTTTATGTTACATTTTTGTGCTGGTTTCTAGGTTTATTCTAGGTTTGCCACCACCCTGTAGGAGTTAACGAGTCCTGATCTAACAAGCATAATGAAACAAATAGTATATTTGGGATAACACTTTCTCAGTCATGTACATATTCTAGTTCTTTTGTGAGTGGGTGAGTGAGTGAGTATGGTTTTACGCCGCTTTTGGCAATATTTCAGCAATATCACGGCGGGGGACACCAGAAATGGGCTTCACACATTGTACCCATTTCGGGAATCGAACCCGGGTCTTCGGCGTGACGAGCAAACGCTGTAACCACTAGGCTACCCGACAGCCCCTACCGGCATTCGAACCCACACTGCCAGAGTTAGGCACAGCACACAAAGTCAGTGATCTAACCCACTCAGCCACCACAAAACGAAAGTGTGACAACTGGTAGTCTAGATCACGTACTTTGTGTACTCATCTGACGAGTGTAAATTGGCACGACTCCCATGGCCGAAAGTCAGTGAGGTACACAAAGTACGTGATCCAGGATACCAGTTGTCGGACTTTCATTTTGTGGTGGCTGAGTGGGTTAGATCGCTGACTTTGTGTGCTGGCGATGAGGTGCCTCACACTGGCAGTGTGGGTTCGAATCCCGGGTGTGACTCAACCCAAAAAAGGAATACAATCTGTACTTTACTAAGAAAGTGTTATGAAACATAATAATATTTGTTACATTTGACCATTTGATCTACATGGTATTGTGTGTTCAAAACATTATATATTAGATTCCCAGTGCGCATGCTCTAATGTTAAGACAACGCAGCCGTGACAATGCAGCATTGTAGGTATGTGTATGTCTGTAACAAAACTGGGTTTTTTAGCAGTTGTCCTATCTCAGTGTGACAACTGTAACTTTATATGAACACAAAACGTTGTTTCATTTGTGTTGTCTGTTTGCTATCAACAACTAACCCAACATAGCTCCTTTGTCCGTGGTCGTACTTACTGAATTGTTAGTTTAACACCACTTGGCGGCAATGACGGAACTTCTTTTATCCCTTATCATTTATCTTGATGATAGAATAGTTTCATAATAAACGTTTGTCGCCAGCGGGAATGGAACCCGCGATGTCCGCACTGAAGGCTAAAGAACGTAGTCTTCTGCCACAGCGACGTGGGAGAAATGGTATGAAATTAACAACTTAATATTTACTTACATCAGTACTAATTGCTTATCCGTTTATGAACTGCGAAATGTGTTTTATGCAATTTTTACACAGATTGTTACTCTAAGCATTCCAGTATTTTTCCAGTACTTGTGATTTTGTAGCTTTTCGTTCAACGAAACGAACAGATAGAAAAGAAATTACTATAATCTTGATCAGGGCTATATTTCCTCTTAAGTAATATTTAGATGATTGATAAAAGTGCTCGAGTTGGTCCAAAATGAATGGTATACTTGCTCCGGGACATGCTTTTCATAACCCAAATCGGCACAGTGTGTTCTCACAGTTGATCATAGAGTTCCTGAGTATCTTTCAAAATACCTTGAACAAAACAATGTTTTTTAGCATTTTAGGTGTCATAAATGTTGGACGTGGTCTAATCAATACATAAAACGTTGCTACATTTGTGCTGTTTAATGTCCGGCAACTAACCCAATAACAGTGGCGAGAGCATTGACACAGCTGTGGAGTGTATGTATACACAAGGAAAGACTCCAATACGGCTGCGACAAGCTATGCATACCGCTCCGTGTCAGAACCTAGACTTTGCCCGATTGTCTGTCAGTACATGCTATCTAAACATGTCAGTTAGATCATGCGGAGCACCCTCTGATAACGACATTGTATCTGTCAGATATATTTACATGGTCCACAACACCACATTGACATACATGGCTTTATAGTGAGTCTTGGCTTCTGGAGAGTGCGATTACCTTCCTCATTACATGTATATATATTTCATGTCTACCAAATACGGACATTGAAATTTGTTAGCGGTGAAATATGAATCCATTTTATCTTAATTTTCTTTAATTTTACATGTATTGTGGATGACATTTTTTGTTTTTGTTTTGGTTGTTTATCCACCTATTTATCTAATTATTTATTCATCGTCAGTATTTTCTTATTTATTATTCATTTAGGTATCACTCATTCATTAATTCGTCTTGTTTAATCGTCTTATCTATTATGTATTTCTCCTTGGATATATTTATGTTTTCTCATTTTCAGCCTTAAGAAAAAGGTCGTTCAACCTGGCGATTTCTCAGACCAGCAGCGATGGTGGTCCATCCGGGTGATGTATTTGACGATGTTTCTCAGCAGTGTGACCTTCACCTTGACCTTATCTTCAATATGGCCATTCCTGCAAGTGGTATGTACTCCAATTTCATAATGACGCGTTGTGTTTGTGAATACATCACCAGAATAGAAATACATCTTACCATTCTTAGCGCTTGGAACCGTTTCTATGCTGAGGCAGGGTAGACGAAGCATACAAGAAACCTTCTGTTGGCATTTTACGCCTTTTTTACTATTTAGCACTCTTCTCGGTCGTGAGAAAGAAATACAATCTCAGAAGAAAAAATACTCATGTATTTCAATGGGTAAAAGTAAACTGCCATCGATAATTATGTGATAATACGGTCTCTGTATTAATTCGACTTAAAAGCAACTTTAAACACTCAATATTTTGTATATTTCTTTACTGCGCGATGCGTTTCGCGATGAGATGAACATGTATGTATTTATAACACGATATGACATTATTTCTGTTTCTGAATAGGTGAATATTCTCTTTTAATATATACTTCAGTGTGAAACACTGAGTTTTTTAAAGTTGAGAAAAGTGATATTTTCATTGTAGTGAACATAACACTTGATATTTCACTGCAGTGAACATAACACTTTGACGGAACCATTGTATACTATTGTATACAAGAGTTCACTCGTAAGTGTCTGGCCCGCACACAAACTGTTGTCGTCCTTTTTACGTTAGTTCCACATAGGCAAGGCAAAATAATGACAAATGGTCATTTATGGAGTTAATATCACTTCTTGTCGTTTGTTATTCTCTCGAAAATGTTTCGTTTTAGGTTGCTGATTTCTCATTTAACTCGTCAATCGAGACTGTTCGTTTCGCAAAGCGCCATTTTTGTTACTTGAGCAGCATGTATTCTTTCGCTTCCACCAGCGGTCTCCTAGTTTTCAAGAATATTTTTTGTTAAAGTTGATTTTGTATATAATCATATCGAAATGTATGATAAAGAATTTTCGTGACCCTAAATATTTTTTATACTTTTGTTTACATTTTATGAAATTTTGCAAACACGAAACTACTTTTTTAGTCGCAAATACATGGGGTGGTGAGCCGTTACTGTGTGTTAGGTAGGGAGAATTTACGTTTCAAGGTTTTACATTTGTAATGAAATAATTTACAAATACACAAAAAGTATATACTAATATGTTTCTCTCATCGAGTGACGGGGGGAAATCCTCTATATTTACATTGTAAAGTTTTTTTACTGTTTTGTATTTAATGCTGACTGCTCTGAAAATGTGGGTCCCAAACCAGTTGTGTATCTTTAAGCGCTGACTGGACATTGTCAGTAAGATACGATACTTTATCGCTTAATGGAGGATGGGAGTGCAAAAAAAAATAATCCGACCCTGTCACGGACGCATCTCTCACCAGTTATCTTACCTCCTCATGTTCCGAGGTGTCATCGGCTGATCTATATGTCATTAACTGGCACAGGTGATCCGGTAGTTTATAGCTGCGTCCTTTGGGCGTGCTCTGATATTGGGTTCGAGTCCCAGACTTGCCTGGTTATCCTCCTGATTGTGGTTTGTCGGAACCATACCCGTGGTCATTCATGGGTTTCACCAAAGTGTAAATGTCCAAAATGTGCATAACTTTCCGCTCCCAGTTGACACGCGGGGATAGAACAGAAATAATCACCAAAGCGATTTTATGTTTCATTAGACCCGTGAAGATCCGGGGTGGAATAGGTCTTCAGCAACCCATGCTTGTCGTAAAAGGCGACTATGCTTGTGGTATACGTAAAAGGCGACTATCGGGATCGGGTGGTCAGGCTCGCTGACATGGTTGATGCATGTCATCGTATCCCAATTGCGTGGATCGATGCTTTTGATATTAATCACTGGATTGTCTGGTCCAGACTCGATTATTTACAGACCGCCGCCATGTAGCTTGAATATTGCTGAGTGCGGCGTTAAACAACAAACAAACATTATATTTCATCACTGGGGTCTACTGAGCACTGTAGGGTGTGCACCATTTCTACACCATCGAGTGTTAAATCCATATTCATTTACACATACACGGATCACAAATCGCTTTCCCGTGAGAATTCGAAGGTAGGGGCTATACTTGTTATGCGAGTCGACTAAGTGGATCAGGTGGTCAGGTTCTGTCACTTGGTTGATTACATATTGTCGTGCTTTCCATCACCAGTTTTTTGGTCCTGACTGGAGTATTTAAAGGCTGCCGTGATATAGCTTGGTCATAAGCAACCCATGCTTGTCGAAAGAGACGACTAACGGGATCGGGTGGTCAGGCTCGCAGACTTGGTTCATGTCATCGTATCCCAATTGTGTAGATCGATGCTCATTATGTCCATCAGACTCAATTATTTACAGGGGGGCACGGGTGGCCCAGTCGTCTAAGGCGCCGCGATTCGCTGTGCAGAGTTGCGTCCCTTGGGCACGCCAGAAACCTATGATTGTGGGTTCGAATCCCGGTTCGCCTCGATTATGTTTCTAGGTTTGTGAGCACCATACCCGTGCTCGTTGGTTTCACCGAAGTGGTAAACGTCTGAGGCCTGCATCACTTCTGGCTTTCCTCCCACATTAAGCTGACGCGCCGTGATATAACTGGAATACTGTTAAAAGCGGCGTTAAACCCAACTCACTCACTCACTCACTCACTCAATTATTTACAAGTGAAGCATTCTTGAACGCTACATTTGACCCCATTTTACCTCACTTCATTCAAGGTTATGGTTAGGTTAGGTTATTTGTTGTTTAACGCCGCACTCGGCAATATTGGACCAGACAACCGAGTGATTGACATCATGAACATGGAACACTTTATACAAGGATTTACGTGAATACTTGAACATGAATTCCAGTGAAGTATTGGTCCCAACCATACTATGCTTGAAGGAGGATCGGGTGGTGAGGTTCGGTGACTTGGTTGATTGCGTGTCATCGTACCCCGACGGCGAGGATCATTGCTCATAATATCAACCTCTGAATTGTCTGATCCAGATTCGATTATTTACGTCGGGCTTCATACAGCAGAATATTGCTCAGTGCGGCGTTAAACAACAACCAAAGTCACATTAAGCTAACATGCCATCAAATGACTTTAAAATGTTCAAGGCTGCATTAAACCCAACTATCATTGTCAAGTGCGGTGTTTAACAACAAACATACAAACATGCGGTAGCCGTTTAGGCCAACTTATTTTTATTTTTTTATTTATTTTTTTATTGACATTTCAAGATACTGACTTGAAATTTCAAGATACATAAGCTGAAAATTCAAGATGTTATGGTGAAATTTCAAGATACATACTAAGTTGAAATTTCAAATGATCTTGAAATTTCAAGATAATAAGTTTAAGTGTCAAGTTCATATCTTAGCATTACTTATGATATAACCTGGCATCTTGAAATTTCAACTTAGTATCTTAATATTTCAAGATACTAAATTGAAATTTCTAGTTATAATCTTAAAATTTTAACTTAGTGTCTTGCAATTTCAAGAAAAAACGAAAAAACAAATGACCCTAAAAGACATTTTACGTTGAAATACTACTCACTGAGATCAAAGGTAGCAAGAGCATGTGTTTATTCACAAGAAGGAAATGTCAAGGTATATTCAGGTTTCCATTACAGAGCCACTGAGCTCTTAATGAGAATTCCGAAGACAGCGGGGTAATTGCCGCATCTTTGTATCGTGTATCTTTGTGTTGCACTTTGTTCCGCGAGATCAATTAGATTTGCAACCCAACGTATGCAAGTGTTTCACGAATAGAATCAGATTGACTGAATGAAGTTTTACGTCGTTTTGCGGTATTCAATCCATGTGGGAGGATTACCAATGGTATCGGAATCGGGCCCGGGTCTTCATGACGAGCCAACGCTTTTACGAGTTTTAACGTTTTTACCACGAGCGTTTCCATAGTAACTCTGAAGCCTGTTAAGCCACACTCGCGTGTCCGGTCCAACCGAGACGTATCTCAGTGGGCTAGCACGATCACATCGACATTAGTCCGGACGCGTACAAGCAGCCAAACACCCACAAACACGTGCACATGCTGTACGTAGCGACAGACACGACGTTTAACCCCATACCAGTGTGTTCATTAGTCATGCCAGAATGTGACTAAACACATCCGCCCCGTACACCCTCGTCAGGGCAACAAAGGGTACTCCCAAGGGAGTACTCGTGTAACTACATTTACCGTGTGGTTTCTACGTGCCAGACAAAATTATTTTGGTCAGGTCTCCGCAAAATGTTCATTTCAACGCGCAACACAACCATTCCTATTTATCAACGGGCACTATTGTTGTGTTGGTGTTGTGAGTCACTGTTGTGCTCTCACAACTGCACACCGTGGTATTTGTTCCCAACAAAAGTATAGAACTTATAAAGCAACTCCGGGACATTATGTTTAACATGTAATGTACAGAGATAACCGTCATGTTTTATCCCAATTTAGAGACCCGTGAAGATTCCGGGGTAGAATAGGTCTTCAGCAACTCATGCTTGCCGTAAAAGGTGACTATGCTTGTCGTAAAAGGCGACTAACGGGATCGGATGGTCAGGCTCGCTGACTTGGTTGATGCATGTCATCGATCCCAATTGCGTGGATCGATGCTCATGATGTCAATCACTGGATTGTCTGGTCCAGACTCGATTATTTACAGACCGCCGTCATATAGCTGGAATATTGCTGAGTGCGGCGTTAAACAACAAACCAACCAACCAACCTTTCTGTTCAGCTGGACCCATCTGCTACTGCCGACTTCCTGGGATGGGTGGTGGCCGCCTATAGCGTGGGGCAGCTCGTGGCATCCCCATTTTTCGGGATGTGGGCCAACTATAGGGGACAGAGCAGAGAACCTCTGGTGGCCTCCATTGCACTGGGTATAGGAGCGAACATCATGTACGCCTATCTACAGTCCATCCCGGGGAACAAGGGGCTTCTCATGATCATTGCTCGTGGACTAATTGGCTTTGGCGCAGGTGGGTGCAATCAAATGACTATAAAACGTCAACACCAGAGAATAACTAATATCGATTATCCGACGAAACAGATTCTATTGGGCGTAAAAGGCAAATTAGCAAGAACATTATAGGATTGGATCACTGATAATCAGTGACACCAGGTGTTCGCGAAAAGGGTAAGCATACCCTTCCCTACCGGTAGCATTCATACAATTTGCATTAGAAACTATGTTTGTTGCCTGACACCGCGCAGCAGTACTGCCATGCCCCCTTGGAGTTAATTCCTTCAGACCCGTGAAGATTCCGGGGTAGAATAGGTCTTCAGCAACCCATACTTGCCGTAAAAGGTGACTCTGCTTGTCGTAAAAGGCGACTAACGGGATCGAGTGGTCAGGCTCGCTGACTTGGTTGATGCATGTCATCGATCCCAATTGCGTGGATCGATGCTCATGATGTCAATCCCTGGATTGTCTGGTCCAGACTCGATTATTTTACAGACCGCCGTCATATAGCTGGAATACTGCTGAGTGCGGCGTTAAACAACAAACAAACAAACTAATTCCTTCAGTTGAAACTGTGTTGCATGTGGTCAGGCTCGCTGAGTTGGTTGATACATGTCATCGATCCCAATTGCGTGGATCGATGCTCATGATGTCAATCACTGGATTGTCTGGTCCAGACTCGATTATTTTACAGACCGCCGTCATATAGCTGGAATATTGCTGAGTGCGGCGTTAAACAACAAACAAACTGGAAACTGGATGGCTTTTAGCAATATTCCAGCAATATCACAGCAGCGGACACCGGAAATGAGCATCACGCATGTACCAATGTTGGGAATCGAACCCAGGCCTTTGTGTGTCGAGCGAACGCTTACACTAGGCTGTCCCACCGCGTCTTGTGGATCAAGTGTTCTGTCAATTATTTGTTCGTTAATGATAATCAGTATAATTGGTTACCAGTCATACCCTTTTTGGCAATTGCTTCCGGTTTTCAAATCGTCCATTGTTTTTGGTTAGTATTACATAGTCTTCTACCCGTGGCAAGAGTGAGTGAGTGAGTGAGTTGGGTTTAACGCCGCTTTTAACACTATGCCAGTTATATCACGGCGTGTCAGCTTAAAGTGGGAGGAAAGCCAGAAGTGATGCAGGTCTCAGACGTTTACCACTTCGGTGAAACCCACGAGCACGGGTATGGTGCTGACAAACCTAGAAACATAATCGGGCGAAACGGGATTCGAACCCACAATCATAGGTTTCTGGCGTGCTCAAGGGCGCAACTCTGCACAGCGAATCGCGGCGCCTTAGACGACTTGGCCACCTGCCCGTGGCAAGAATGCCTGTAGGTACACAGTATGACTTGTCGATAGAGGGGCGTTCACGTAGTTGTTATGACCATGGCGATTTTGTGTCATTGTTACCGACGGCGTGGGCCATTAGGGTTAGGGTTCGATCATTAACGTGCCGCAGAGATAAAACTTGCTTACAATTGACTGTGATATAAAACCACATAAACGCACTTCTATCGCAGTGATAGGTGGCCCTTAACTCATTTTGGGTCATTATACCAATAATACAGTCTTATAAGTTTTACAAGTGTATACGAATGTACATTCTTTTAACCAACCGACCAATACATTTTCATTTTCTGTGGGGCCTGTGAATTTTGTTAGAAACAGAATCTTTTTTCAAAAGCATACACATTAATCGACCCGTAGCAACCCATGCTTGCCGTAAAAGGCAACTATGCTTGTCGTAAGAGGCGATTAGCGGGATCCGGTGGTCAGGCTCGCTGACTTGGTTGATGCATGGCATCGTATCCCAATTGCGTAGATCGATGCTCATGATGTCAATCACAAGGCTGTCTGGTCCAGGCTCGTTCATTTACAGACCGCCGTCCAATAGCTGGAATATTGCTGAATGCGGCGTAAAATAACAAACCAACCATACACACGAATCATGGATTTTGGGTTTTGTGACATCCAGCCTGATCTCACATTCTTGCCCGTATCGCGAACACCCGGTGTCACTGTAACTTTACATTGATTCGTCAATGTATTTGTTCCTATAATAACTTTATTACACTTTCAAACTACGGGAGAATCACATACAATCTTCTTAAACGATGTACTTTTACTGATCCGTATTTCAAAGGCTATTCCTACTGTGAGCAATTTACACTACTTCTATCCAGCTCCGATCTCACCTTTTACGTGGCCAAAACCTGCTATGATATTTTATTGAAGCGCCGATCTATTTTATATTCATGATGTATATATTGTATGTATCTCATTTTAGTATACATGTTTGTTTTATGATCATATCGTCTCTCATAAGTCGTTTTACGACTGGCCGTAAGTTTTACGCGTGTTTTGATTTATATGTATACTGTACAATGTACCTTATGGGTGAGACGCAAATAAATTATTGTCTTGTCTTGTCCTACAACCATGTTTTGATTAAAGTCAAGTCTCGTTAATCCGAAAACCGGCTTTATCCGACACCTATGATGGGAACAGATTAAATCAGTCCTGCTCTCCGACTCCGACACACCTAATTTACAACGAATTACCGAAATCACTCCTAAATCAGTCTCGTTAATCCGACACAGTGATCAGCGTACTCCGTGGTCATCTGTCCGAGAGTACACAGCCCGTGTTTTGATGCGAGACGAGTCGGCTGGTAGCTGCATATTACAACGGCTGCAGAGATAAACTTGCTTGACAAAAAAAACACGATTAATGCTTTAAATAAGCAAAACAGGATTAATCACATGCGTGACTGTAATCTGTTTCAGGGAACGTGGCTGTCGTGAGAGCTTATGTAGCAGGGGCCACAAACGTGTCTGAACGTACACCAGCAATGGCCAATGTCAGCATATTCCAGTCTGTTGGATTCATCCTTGGACCGGGTAATGTCAAATATGTACCTTGGAATAAAGGGACAACCTTTTAATTTTGGAGTGGTTCCAAGCTCCTCACAGTGATAGCCCGTTTGCGGAGCTCTCTATGCTATCACTGCCACCAGTGAAGGCTCCCCACTGTGATAGGTGGCTGCAACCATGCTTGGAGTTGAACTCACAACCAACTGTTTTATTTACAAACAAGCAGTTGGTTGTAAGGATTTTACAAATGTCAAATGTTTTTTTCAGCTATATATGTGTGTAATATGATTATTTGGGGATCAAATCTTGGATTTTACATTGTGAGAAATGTCAAATATTTGTTATCCATTTTGTATTATGTTCATATATTTAAGATAAACTACAAGCCTACTACAAGTCCACTACACGTCTAAGATTATTCCTTGTTTGTTGACAATGGAATTGCATGGATAAGTTCATTGCGGTAGAGGGATGAAGGTTTTGCTAGTGTGTGCTCTGAACCCTGAAGGGCGGTCGGGTAGCCTTGTGGTTGAAGCGTTCGCTCGTCTCGCCGAAGACCCGGGTTCGATTCTCGACATGGGTACAATGTGTGGAGCCCATTTCTGGTGTCCCCCGCCGTGATATTGCTGGAATATTGCTAAAAGCGGCGTAAAACCATACTCACTCACTCACTCTGAACCCTGAAGTTGTTTTGATAACTAACACTGTAGGCAAAGTGCATAGTCTGTCTTACAGACCCTGATACAAATATATATCAAATACAGCCCATGTAAGTCTATAATGTTTGACAAGTCTAGATTACTGCTATCTGAAAATGAAGAGAGTCACTGGGCTCCCTTTTATTATATTTTTATTAAGATAACTGAACAACTGTTTTTTCTGTATGATATGTTCATTTCAGAGACTAGATGTTAGTCTAGCAAAGTGCACTGTAGGCAATAAGAGAAGACATCTTCTGGGAGGGATGGGATTTGTTTGAAAAATAATACTAAAAGAAATATTGTGACATTTGGTTTTACCCCCAAAACTGTATCCTAACTGGACACGCAGGATGTCCTGAGAAAAGCAGCTTGGCATGTATACCTCCCAGGGAGTTGAGAATAATAACTGGAATGCAAACAGATCCTCTGGTTGGGGAACACATAACTGTAATAAACCGCATTTGAACAGATACTAGTACCTTGATAAGTGCGATATATAAAATGAATAAAAATAAAAATTGTAAAAAGCGAATTAATGAATGAAATAAACCCCAAATATGGAACACTCTTCACCCGCTCTGACAAGAGTTTCCGTTGCCTCTGACTTTGCATGGCTGTATACATGTTTCTACACTCGGTACTTTCCATGACAGTTATCCAGGCTGCCTTGGTGCCTATCTCCTACCCCGGGGCTGTCGAGGCTCCTGGGTTCCACCTCAACATGTACACGGCGCCCGCCATCTTGGGCGCCATATGTTGCACAGTCAACGTTGTGCTACTTTTTGCCGTCTTTCGAGAATTTAAAGTCCACGATGACGTCACCATTACAAACATTCAAAGCTGTAAGTGAATCTTTGTCAGTGTGTGTATGGTTGATTTTGGTTCGGGTTGGATTCTCATATCTATTGAAGATCGGGGGTGGTGTGTGTGTGTGTGTGTGTGGGGGGGGGGGGGGGGGGGGGGGGAGAGATTGGCGAGGATGGAGTGTATGTGTGTAGGAGGGGGTATTTGTGGTCTGCTCTGTGATTGTTTGTTGTTTGTTTAACGCCGCACTCAGCAATATTCCAAATATATGACGGCGGTATGTAAGTATTCGAGTATGCCCTAGACAATCCAGTGATTGACATCATGAGCACCCATTTACGCAATTAGGATACGATGACATGCATCAACCAAGTCAGCGAGCCTGACACCCTGATCCCGTTATTCGCCTCTTACGACAAGCATGGGTGCTGAAGACCAATTATAACCCAAATCTTCACGGGGGTTAGGCTCAGTGACTTGGCTGATTGTGTGTTATCGTACCCGTCGATTCTTATTGATACTATATATGTCATTATTTTAAATTGATAGAATTTGTTTATTTCAAAATTAGGAATGCTGATTTTAACATATTATCATTATTTTTGGTGTTTGAATTTCGATATTTTTTCGATATAACGAAGTTTGATGCTTTAGGGCGGTCGTGTAGAATAATAGTTCGTTACGCCGAAGGCCCGTTTGAAATTGCGTGTCATGATTAAAGCGACTAAAAACCCAGGTTAAAGTTAATGTTTCCGAAGTTTACTGTTCAATGTATTTCTGATAGCGTATGACGTTCCATCTTCCAGCGTATGAAGAATCGGTCAAGAACTACAAGCCTGATTACTTTGCGGTGATCTACTGCATCATCATATTCTTCGTCGTTCTCTTCATCTTCACGATTTTTGAAACGTGAGTATCCGTTTACTACCCCAAATATGCTGGATTCCTTTTAGGTCGCTGGGTATATATCGGGTCGAATAACGCTATATTGACAATGCATAAATCTTCCAGGCCGTTGTGCGTTCACCAAAGCCATATTAACCCAAGACGATCGTAAAGCCGGTGTCTTCCCAAATGTGCCCAGTCCCATTCTGCCCACAGTAAAATAATGAAATGATACGGTCTGATGCTCAGAAAGTGATGCATGAGTGAACATGTTACCTGCTTCACCTGTGATGGGAGATAGACTGGTCCATCCTGAAACAACGAAACAGTGTGGGAAACACTTGTGGAATGAAATAAAATCATAACACGTAATGAAAGTCACGGATATATTAAATTATAATATAAGACAGAAGAAAAATATAACAATAGTTTTGGCAATACTTTCACATTCAACCAATTAACCATTGGCAAATCATAGAAGGTTATTGTCCAGATTTGATAAGGTGACTAGCGGCATGTAGGAACTGCATGGGTGTTTCTTATTAACCTGTTGTCCATTTCCCGGTACACACGTTTTCGGATTTGGCAGAGTATGATGTAGGCACAATGGGATTGAACCGTAACGCCCATACTTTAACATTGACTTACGATAATCATAGCGCAAAGAATGTTTATGAGGAACGGGGTCATAATCTCAATAGGACTATCGTGATTTATTGTTCCCAATTGCAAGTATACAGTCCAAGAACATCGCTACATCTCTTGTTTTCTTTCTTGAATATAATACAGACCTACCTAGCATTTATGATTCAGCATCACGCCAATCGCATCCGTGGACAGTTAATGTTCAAAAATGTATACTGAGTCAAATTAAAAACTTCACATTTTTAAGGATTTCAATTAACGGTGGTAACAATAATTTGTTCCAAGCACCTACGGTATTCGGTAATAACATCAACAGTTTAAATCATAAGTCCCAAGCACGAGAATCTGATGGCACACAAGTTCAGTAGCGTGTATGGCCACCATGTGCGTTGACAACTGCCACACAGCGCCTCCGCATGGACCTTGTGATGCTTGTGAACACATGATTTGGAAGACGACGCCATTGTTGCTGCAAAATGGTGCCAAGATCGTGCAAATTCTGTGGTTGGTTCTGGAGAGTTCGCAGACTTCTGCCAAAAGCATACCAGACGTGTTCGATGGGATTGAGGTCGGGAGACCTTGACGGCCAGTCCATGACGTTGACTCCCGCATTCTGAAGGAAATTCCATGTCAAAATTGCTGTGTGGGGTCTGGCATTGTCGTGTTGGAAGATCAAACCGGGTCCATGTGCTGCCATAAAAGGCAGAAGTTCTGGTGCCAGTACCTGGTCGCGGTAAGCAGCAGCGTTGAGGTTGCCACGGATGACAAGAAGCCTGGAACGTGCATTGCCACCGAAAGCACCCAACACCATGACACTTCCGCCTCGAAATCTGTCAACTTCCAGTACACAACACTTGGCGTAACGTTCATGACGGCGCCTCCACACCCTCGCCCTACCATCAGCAAATCGAAGATTAAATCGGGATTCATCACTGAAGACGACTTAATACCAATTCCTCTGAGTCCATCGTAAGTGTCGCTGTGCCCACAATTGACGTTGACGTCTGTGTAATTGAGTCAGAATCGGCCCGCAGTATAGCCGTCGTGCTTGAAGGTGAGCAGTTCTCAGACGGTTTCGAACAGTTTGCGCACTCAGTCTACCCCTAAACAGTTCATTTCTGGTTGATGTAGCGGTCAAAACTCGGTTACGGTGGTGACGTAAGACATTCTGACGATCCTCTGCATGTGACGTCACACGTGGTCGACCTGGCCGAGGGCGATCAGCGGTGGTACCCGTTTGCTGTAGACGCGTCTGTAAATCTTATCAGTCCGTCGACTACAACCCATCGTCCTTGCGACTTCAGCTACGGACGTTCCCGTCTGCAACATGCCGATGGCACGTTCACGTTGCACATTTGAAAGGGGTGGCATGACAAATGGCCGTAAAGACTTTTGTTTTCTTGTGTTTTTCTCTTTTTGTTAATGACCGCTAACAAGTATGGCTGGAAACACGTGCGGCATTATGGCCACGTGACCAGTTGCACGTGAAAAAACACTTTTGCCACTATAGTGCTGTGCACATGATTTTTATTGATTCACCTGCACAAAAACGGGTGTTATCTGAAGACAATACGTGACCATTATTATTTAAATACCTAATAAGGGCCCACAATGATAACTGGTTAAAATTTTAGGATTGTGAAGTTTTTAATTTGGTTCAGTATATGATGGCCGAGTAGTGTCGCTGTATCGTTACATCGCATCGTCTCATCGTTTCGCAACTTAGTTTCATCGAATCGCTCCATAGTTTCATAACATCACTCCATCGTTTCATTGCATCACTCCATAGCATCATCGCATCACTCCATAGCATCGATCATCGCATCACGCCATAGCATCGATCATCGGATCACTCCATAGCATCGATCGTCGCATCACCCCATAGCATCGATCATCGCATCACGCCATAGCATCGATCATCGCATCACGCCATAGCATCGATCATCGCATCACTCCATAGCATCATCGCATCACTCCATAGCATCGACCATCGCATCACTCCATAGCATAGACCATCGCATCACTCCCTAGCATCGATCATCGCATCACTCCCTAGCATCATCGCATCACTCCATAGAATCATCGCATCACCCCATAGCATCATCGCATCACCCCATAGCATCATCGCATCAACTCATCGTTTCATCGCATTATTGCATTACTGCATCTTCACAGTCATCACACAGATACGTTGAACTGATTGTTTTTATCAAATTAGAATATATAGAAATAGAATTTTAAAATATTTAAAAATCTCTCACCTCACAATTTTATTTGATATAAATGACGTTGATGATATTAATAATGATTATTAATCCAAATATATGTTTGAATGTTGCTTACCTCCGAACTCCGAGCAATATTCCAACTATATGACGGCGGTCCGTAAATAATCGAGTCTCGATCAGACAATCCATGCGACTATGCTTGTCGAAAGAGGCGACTAACGGAATCGGGTGGTCAGGCTTGCTGACTTGGTTGAAGCATGTCATTGATCCCAATTGCGCGGATCGATGCTCATGATATCAATCACTGGATTGTCTGGTCAAGACTCGATTATTATTAACAGACCGTTTTCGAATAGCTGGAATGTTGCTGAATGCGGCGTCAAACAACAAACAAACATATTTTCCCACATTTAAATCTGCTCTAACGAAAGGTACATGAGGTAAAAGGAACCTGTTCTGTCCCTGAATCTCCCAAGGATTACGGAACTATAGAACTGATTCCACCTGTAATGACACATTTATGTACTACAGTCAGTGAGTGAGTATGGGTTTACGGCGCTTTTAGCAATATTCCAGCAATATCACGGCGGGGGACACCAGAAAGGGGCTTCACACATTGTACCCATGTCGGGAATCGATCCCGGGTCTTCGGCGTTACGAGGGAACGCTTTAACCACTAGGCTACCCGACTGCCCCTTATGTACTACAATTTCCAAGACGGTAGAACGACTCTTCCGAATTATCTGGACGAATCGACATTCTAAAAAGTTATCCTCGGATCCCATTGTTACGATGAATGTATATGGTTCCAGCATCGCGACGCCCCTGGGGATGAACATGTTCGCCTGGAGCAAGAAGCAGTCCACGCTGTATGTAGGGGTTATTCTGGCGTCGTGTGGAGTGGAAGCAATTGGAGTGTTCGTCGTTCTTAAGATACTCAGCCGAAGGTAATCCTCAGCATTGTCTCAAGAGAAAGTAGGCCTTGTTCCCCACTCTCAACAATCTGTCAACAGAAGGTAGGCCTTGTTCCCCACTCTCAACAATCTGTCAACAGAAGGTAGGCCTTGTTCCCCACTCTCAACAATCTGTCAACAGAAGGTAGGCCTTGTTCCCCACTCTCAGCAATCTGTCAACAGAAGGTAGGCCTTGTTCCCCACTCTCAACAATCTGTCAACAGAAGGAAGGCCTTGTTCCCCACTCTCAACAATCTGTCAACAGAAGGTAGGCCTTGTTCCCCACTCTCAACAATCTGTCAACAGAAGGTAGGCCTTGTTCCCCACTCTCAACAATCTGTCAACAGAAGGAAGGCCTTGTTCCCCACTCTCAACAATCTGTCAACAGAAGGTAGGCCTTGTTCCCCACTCTCATCAATCTGTCAACAGAAGGAAGGCCTTGTTCCCCACTCTCAACAATCTGTCAACAGAAGGTAGGCCTTGTTCCCCACTCTCAACAATCTGTCAACAGAAGGTAGGCCTTGTTCCCCGCTCTCAACAATCTGTCAACAGAAGGTAGGCCTTGTTCCCCACTCTCAACAATCTGTCAACAGAAGGTAGGCCTTGTTCCCCACTCTCAACAATCTGTCAACAGAAGGTAGGCCTTGTTCCCCACTCTCAACAATCTGTCAACAGAAGGTAGGCCTTGTTCCCCACTCTCAACAATCTGTCAACAGAAGGTAGGCCTTGTTCCCCGCTCTCAACAATCTGTCAACAGAAGGTAGGCCTTGTTCCCCACTCTCAACAATCTGTCAACAGAAGGTAGGCCTTGTTCCCCACTCTCAACAATCTGTCAACAGAAGGTAGGCCTTGTTCCCCACTCTCAACAATCTGTCAACAGAAGGTAGGCCTTGTTCCCCACTCTTAACAATCTGTCAACAGAAGGTAGGCATTGTTCCCCACTCTCAACAATCTGTCAACAGAAGGTAGGCCTTGTTCCCCACTCTCAACAATCTGTCAACAGAAGGAAGGCCTTGTTCCCCACTCTCAACAATCTGTCAACAGAAGGTAGGCATTGTTCCCCGCTCTTAACAATCTGTCAACAGAAGGTAGGCCTTGTTCCCCACTCTCAACAATCTGTCAACAGAAGGTAGGCCTTGTTCCCCACTCTCAACAATCTGTCAACAGAAGGTAGGCCTTGTTCCCCACTCTCAACAATCTGTCAACAGAAGGAAGGCCTTGTTCCCCACTCTCAACAATCTGTCAACAGAAGGTAGGCCTTGTTCCCCACTCTCAACAATCTGTCAACAGAAGGTAGGCCATGGTCCCCACTCTCAACAATCTGTCAACAAAAGGTAGGCCATGGTCCCCACTCTCAACAATCTGTCAACAGAAGGTAGGCCTTGTTCCCCACTCTCAACAATCTGTCAACAGAAGGTAGGCCTTGTTCCCCACTCTCAACAATCTGTCAACAGAAGGAAGGCCTTGTTCCCCACTCTCAACAATCTGTCAACAGAAGGTAGGCATTGTTCCCCGCTCTTAACAATCTGTCAACAGAAGGTAGGCCTTGTTCCCCACTCTCAACAATCTGTCAACAGAAGGTAGGCCTTGTTCCCCACTCTCAACAATCTGTCAACAGAAGGTAGGCATTGTTCCCCGCTCTTAACAATCTGTCAACAGAAGGTAGGCCTTGTTCCCCACTCTCAACAATCTGTCAACAGAAGGTAGGCCTTGTTCCCCACTCTCAACAATCTGTCAACAGAAGGTAGGCCTTGTTCCCCACTCTCAACAATCTGTCAACAGAAGGTAGGCATTGTTCCCCGCTCTTAACAATCTGTCAACAGAAGGTAGGCCTTGTTCCCCACTCTCAACAATCTGTCAACAGAAGGTAGGCCATGTTCCCCACTCTCAACAATCTGTCAACAGAAGGAAGGCCTTGTTCCCCACTCTCAACAATCTGTCAACAGAAGGTAGGCCTTGTTCCCCACTCTCAACAATCTGTCAACAGAAGGTAGGCATTGTTCCCCACTCTCAACAATCTGTCAACAGAAGGTAGGCATTGTTCCCCGCTCTTAACAATCTGTCAACAGAAGGTAGGCCTTGTTCCCCACTCTCAACAATCTGTCAACAGAAGGTAGGCCTTGTTCCCCACTCTCAACAATCTGTCAACAGAAGGTAGGCCTTGTTCCCCACTCTCAACAATCTGTCAACAGAAGGTAGGCCTTGTTCCCCGCTCTTAACAATCTGTCAACAGAAGGAAGGCCTTGTTCCCCACTCTCAACAATCTGTCAACAGAAGGTAGGCCTTGTTCCCCACTCTCAACAATCTGTCAACAGAAGGTAGGCCTTGTTCCCCACTCTCAACAATCTGTCAACAGAAGGTAGGCATTGTTCCCCGCTCTTAACAATCTGTCAACAGAAGGTAGGCCTTGTTCCCCACTCTCAACAATCTGTCAACAGAAGGTAGGCCATGTTCCCCACTCTCAACAATCTGTCAACAGAAGGAAGGCCTTGTTCCCCACTCTCAACAATCTGTCAACAGAAGGTAGGCCTTGTTCCCCACTCTCAACAATCTGTCAACAGAAGGTAGGCCTTGTTCCCCACTCTCAACAATCTGTCAACAAAAGGTAGGCCATGGTCCCCACTCTCAACAATCTGTCAACAGAAGGTAGGCCTTGTTCCCCACTCTCAACAATCTGTCAACAGAAGGTAGGCCTTGTTCCCCACTCTCAACAATCTGTCAACAGAAGGAAGGCCTTGTTCCCCGCTCTCAACAATCTGTCAACAGAAGGTAGGCATTGTTCCCCGCTCTTAACAATCTGTCAACAGAAGGTAGGCCATGGTCCCCACTCTCAACAATCTGTCAACAGAAGGTAGGCCTTGTTCCCCACTCTCAACAATCTGTCAACAGAAGGAAGGCCTTGTTCCCCACTCTCAACAATCTGTCAACAGAAGGAAGGCCTTGTTCCCCGCTCTCAACAATCTGTCAACAGAAGGTAGGCATTGTTCCCCGCTCTTAACAATCTGTCAACAGAAGGTAGGCCATGGTCCCCACTCTCAACAATCTGTCAACAGAAGGTAGGCCTTGTTCCCCACTCTCAACAATCTGTCAACAGAAGGAAGGCCTTGTTCCCCGCTCTCAACAATCTGTCAACAGAAGGTAGGCCTTGTTCCCCGCTCTTAACAATCTGTCAACAGAAGGTAGGCCATGGTCCCCACTCTCAACAATCTGTCAACAGAAGGAAGGCCTTGTTCCCCGCTCTCAACAATCTGTCAACAGAAGGAAGGCCTTGTTCCCCACTCTCAACAATCTGTCAACAGAAGGTAGGCCATGGTCCCCACTCTCAACAATCTGTCAACAGAAGGTAGGCCTTGTTCCCCACTCTCAACAATCTGTCAACAGAAGGAAGGCCTTGTTCCCCACTCTCAACAATCTGTCAACAGAAGGAAGGCCTTGTTCCCCACTCTCAACAATCTGTCAACAGAAGGTAGGCCTTGTTCCCCACTCTCAACAATCTGTCAACAGAAGGTAGGCCTTGTTCCCCACTCTCAACAATCTGTCAACAGAAGGTAGGCCTTGTTCCCCACTCTCAACAATCTGTCAACAGAAGGTAGGCCTTGTTCCCCACTCTCAACAATCTGTCAACAGAAGGAAGGCCTTGTTCCCCACTCTCAACAATCTGTCAACAGAAGGTAGGCCTTGTTCCCCACTCTCAACAATCTGTCAACAGAAGGTAGGCCATGGTCCCCACTCTCAACAATCTGTCAACAGAAGGAAGGCCTTGTTCCCCACTCTCAACAATCTGTCAACAGAAGGTAGGCCTTGTTCCCCGCTCTCAACAATCTGTCAACAGAAGGTAGGCCTTGTTCCCCGCTCTCAACAATCTGTCAACAGAAGGTAGGCCATGGTCCCCACTCTCAACAATCTGTCAACAGAAGGTAGGCATTGTTCCCCGCTCTCAACAATCTGTCAACAGAAGGAAGGCCTTGTTCCCCACTCTCAACAATCTGTCAACAGAAGGAAGGCCTTGTTCCCCACTCTCAACAATCTGTCAACAGAAGGTAGGCCTTGTTCCCCACTCTCAACAATCTGTCAACAGAAGGTAGGCCTTGTTCCCCACTCTCAACAATCTGTCAACAGAAGGTAGGCCTTGTTCCCCACTCTCAACAATCTGTCAACAGAAGGTAGGCATTGTTCCCCACTCTCAACAATCTGTCAACAGAAGGTAGGCCTTGTTCCCCACTCTCAACAATCTGTCAACAGAAGGAAGGCCTTGTTCCCCACTCTCAACAATCTGTCAACAGAAGGAAGGCCTTGTTCCCCACTCTCAACAATCTGTCAACAGAAGGAAGGCCTTGTTCCCCACTCTCAACAATCTGTCAACAGAAGGTAGGCCTTGTTCCCCACTCTCAACAATCTGTCAACAGAAGGAAGGCCTTGTTCCCCACTCTCAACAATCTGTCAACAGAAGGTAGGCCTTGTTCCCCACTCTCAACAATCTGTCAACAGAAGGTAGGCCATGGTCCCCACTCTCAACAATCTGTCAACAGAAGGTAGGCCTTGTTCCCCACTCTCAACAATCTGTCAACAGAAGGTAGGCCTTGTTCCCAACTCTCAACAATCTGTTAACAAAAGGAAAGCCTTGTTCCCCACTCTCAACAATCTGTCAATAGAAGGTAGGCCATTAAGTTCGCAGCTTCATCTGCCGGTTTCTATCCAGATTGTAACCACGTGATCAAAACTCAATGACGTGGTCTATCGCTAGCAAAATAGACATATTTTTTTAAAAGCGCACTTTGCATTTTTTGTCATTACTGTAAGTAATATTCCTTATCGGCGGAATGGCCTGTTTTCACATTAGAAGTATTGGCACACATGCAGCTATCTCCATTGATTAATCACCGCGACATGTCTTGATTCTATTTCAAATGGTGAGGACTTTAGGTAACCATGGCAACATCAGATATCATCAGCGATTCAATAAGGTGATCATGTATAGAATAGATGCTATTCACTTGAAGACTCATTGAAAGCCTGAATTTCCAGAAATAGTAACTTGAATAATATACTGCCTTTCTTTTTGTCAGGATAAACGAACGCTACCTTCTAATCATGGGATTTGTCCTGTGCTTCTTTGGATACTTTGTTCAACTTCCGTGGGGAGATGGGCTCCCGGTGAGAGCACCGGCAGGTGAGACTGACGGGGAACTTGGTAGTTCTTCCATTTATTACTCGTGACGCACATCTCATGTGTATCTTCATCTTAAGATGTAATGAGTGCATTTCCGAGACATAGCCCTTTCATGTGGCATTATAACTGGATCGCCATGCAGACACTGGGAAACAGTAAAATCTATCCAGTCTGTTTGATTCTGCGTTATTGCTAACCGATTTTGAAAACATGGTGCAGAGCTACTGATAAAAATATTCAAAACTCAATTGAAACATGATGGATGGGTGAGCATAATACCCAACACGAAGTTTTTTTTATATGTTTGTTGTTTAACGCCGCACTCAGCAGTATTCCAACTATATGACGGTGGTCTGGAAATAATCGAGTCTGGACCAGACAATCCAGTGATTGACATCTTGAGCATCGATCCACGCAATTGGGATAGTTGACATGCATCAACCAAGTCAGCGAGCCTGACCACCCGATCCCGTTACTCGCCTTTTACGACAAACATAGTCGCCTTTTACGGCAAGCATGGGTTGCTGAAGACCAATTCTATCCCGGATCTTCACGGGTCCCAACATGAAGTGACATAGTCGAGGGAGTAGTTAACATATAAGCCCCCTGAAAATAGGGATGGGGTGCGCACCTCCCCTGGATCCACCAGTTATCGGTTTTAGGGGCGTTGAGGGAGCCTAGTGGTAAAAGCACTCGCCGCCATACTCCAGACCAGGGTTCGATTCCAACATGTGTAAATTGTGTGAAGCCCATTTCTGGTGTCCCCCGTCGTGATATTGGTTTTTACGTCTGTTGTTTTGTTTCTTTGTATTCATTTTGATACCAATACACTAACATTTGCCTGATTTTGACCGATATTTTTCTTGGGCAATGTTTCACTTACGTGTCTGGACTGGACGATCGATGTACCTGTCCAGTATTATCGGCAGAATATATTTCAGCTGGTGTATTGCATTTTGTGACCACTAATCACAAATCCCATCCCTATTTCTTATGGTTATGGGTGGTGGTGGTGGTAGTGGGGGGCACGGGTGGCCCAGTCGTCTAAGGCGCCGCGATTCGCTGTGCAGAGTTGCGTCCCTTGGGCACGCCAGAAACCTATGACTGTGGGTTCGAATCCCCGTTCGCCCCGAGACTTGACTTTAATCAAATCATGGTTGTATGTGATTCTCCCGTAGTTTGAAAGTGTAATAAAGCTTATTATAGGAATAAATACATTCATTTGACGAATCAGTATGGTTGGTTTGTTATTTTACGCCGCATTCAGCAATATTCCAGCTATATGACGGCGGTCTGTAAATAAACGAGCCTGGACAAGACAGCCTTGTGATTGACATCATGAGCATCGATCTACGCAATTGGGATACGATGCCATGCATCAACCAAGTCAGCGAGCCTGACCACCGGATCCCGTTAGTCGCCTCTTACGACAAGCATAGTTGCCTTTCACGGCAAGCATGGGTTGCTACGGGTCGATTGTGTGTATGCAGTGGAAAAAAGATTCTGTTTCTAACAAAATTCACAGGCCCCACAGAAAATGAAAATGTATTGGTCGGTCGGTTAAAAGAATTTACATTCGTATACACTTGTAAAACTTATAAGACTGTATTATTGGTATAATGACCCAAAATGAGTTAATGGCCACCTATCACTGCGATAGAAGTGCGTTTATGTGGTTTTATATCACAGTCAACTGTAAGCAAGTTTTATCACTGCGGCACGTTAATGATCGAACCCTAACCCTAATGGCCCACGCCGTCGGTAACATTGACACAAAATCGCCATGGTCATAACAACTACGTGAACGCCACTCTATCGACAAGTCATACTGTGTACCTACAGGCATTCTTGCCACGGGCAGGTGGCCCAGTCGTCTAAGGCGCCGCGATTCGCTGTGCAGAGTTGCGTCCCTTGAGCACGCCAGAAACCTATGATTGTGGGTTCGAATCCCGGTTCGCCCCGATTATGTTTCTAGGTTTTGTCAGCAACATGCCCCTGCTCTTGGGTTTCACCGAAGTGGTAAACGTCTGAGACCTGCATAACTTCGGGCTTTCCTCAAACATTAGTGAGTGAGTGAGTTAATATTTAACGTCACATCGACAGTATTTCAGCCATATCGTGACGATCTCCCACATTAAGCTGACACGTCGTGATATAACTGGAACACTGTTAAAAGCGGCCTTAAACCCAACTCACTCACTCACTATGGTTATGGAAATGGTTATGTTGCTTTTATTTACACCCGGGGTGGTCGGGTAGCCTAGTGGTGAAAGCGTTCGCTCGCCACGCCGAAGACCCGGGTTCGAATTCCGACATGGGATATTGCTGGAATATCGCTAAAAGCTACGTAAAACCATACTCACTCACTCACTTATTTACACCCAAGTCAATCATTCTTTGAATTAGTTAGTACATGTACGCGGCACACTGACTAAAGTTTTATTTCCTTTGGTACAGTGATGATGACGAGTCACACAATCAAGCCGACAGGAGTGGGAAACCGTACGCTCGAAGGTATCATGTCTCAACTCAGTAACCATGCCGACAGCGGTATCCTGACCATGTTGGTAGATAATGTGACGACCGCATTGTCAGCAGTGAATACGACGATTGCACCGTTGACGATGAGGACGATGGGAGACGCATCGTCGCTAGTCACCGAAGCTTCGATAGGAACTGCAGCAACGTTAACGTCAAACATCGCAGACGCCGTCATTTCGACTGCGGAGACTACAACCAAAGCCACGACAACCATCACGGACGCTATCCTGTCTACTGCCGAGACGTTTACTACAACCAAAGCCACGACAACCATCACGGACGCTATCCTGTCTACTGCCGAGACGTTTACTACAACCAAAGCCACGACAACCATCACAGACGCTATCCTGTCTACTGCCGAGACGTTTACAACAACCGAAGCCACGACAACCATCACGGACGCTATCCTGTCTACTGCCGAGACGTTTACAACAACCGAAGCCACGACAACCATCACAGACGCTATCCTGTCTACTGCCGAGACGTTTACTACAACCGAAGCCACGACAACCATCACAGACGCTATCCTGTCAACAGCAGCAACAGCAGCAACAGCAACTACATCAACGCCGACACACACCACGGGACACATAGTATCAACGTATTCTACAACTGTAAGCAATATGACGTCGACGCCTCACAGCAACATTTCAACAACAGTAGAACCTGTTGGTTGCCCAGCAACCATGGACTGGTGTAACCACACGCCACCAGTGTATCTGGCCCAGTACATTGTTGGCTGTATCATAATCTCAGCTGGGTACCCGGCGGCAAACGTCATGTGTTATACGCTCTTCTCCAAAATACTTGGTCCTAAACCACAGGTGAGTCAAGGTTTGTTGTGTTATTTGTTTCGTTTATTCCAGTGAGTGAGTGAATGAGTGGGTGATAGGGGTTTTAGGTCGCGCTTAGGAATATGTCAGCAATATCACGGCGGGGGACACCAGAAATAGGCTTCACACATTGTACCTTGTGGGGAATCGAACCCGAGTCTTCGGCGTGACGAGCGAACGCTTTAACCACGAGGTTTAACGTTAATGACGTGAATATATATCCATGGTTGTGTCTCCCAAACCCACTGATGTTGACTGGCACTTTGCTGCAATCAGTGTAAATGTGATGTTTTATCATAATTTTCACTGCTGATAAAACGCATTACCAAAAAGGCATCAGCGACGCTGTTGTTGTCGCCATTAGTAGTAGTTGTAGTAGTAGTAGAAGTAGTAGTAGTAGTAGTTTTTGTTGTAGACGTAGTAGTAACCGTGGCTATCATCGTCCTTGTCACTTGTGTTAGGAGTAGTAGGAATAGTGGAAGTAGTAATCATTTCTATCATCGTCGTCGTCACTAGAAGTAGTAGACCTGGTAGTAGTAGTAGTAGTAGTAGTAGTAGTCAAGGATATCGTCGTCAGACTATCAGTTATAGTTGCTGTGGGAGGTGGGGTTGAAAAGAGATTTACTCACTCGTCTTCGGCATTATTATTTTTATTATCATTATTATTTTTATTATTACTTTTATCCAGGGTACGTGGATGGGCTGGTTGACAGCGTCTGGCAGCCTCGCCAGGACCTTGGGGCCAATATTCGTTTCCCAGATTTATTATTCATTTGGACCTCGCGTGACATTCGGCGCAGACTGCGGTATTATCCTTTTGACAATTATTGCCATTATTGCTGTGTTCAAAAGACTTGTGCCCTGTAAGTATACAACTGATTATCAACAGCAGAATGGAGATGCGGTCAACTAGAGAACCGTCCCTGGTTGCTCATCCAATAACCGACACTGATTGAGGCTGTGTGTTCCCAACAACTGCTGCATATCCACACTGGCCTACGGTGTGATTCAGCAACAACGAAACGTTTCCGTTTTGTAAAGTACCCAAACTGGTCAGTACAAAAACTGTACATACTTTTTCTCCACCGATCAAAGTCGATAAATTCAAGAACATCGTTGAAACAACAGAGGGAACTGTAGAGCGCACATGCGTATTCGTGAGTGCGTGTTTCCGATGATACAATGACAACACACGAATGACAACACCATTCCAGCCCAAAGGGGGCAGACAGATCACCATAATGTTTTATTTATGTATGTATGTATTTCTTTTACGTCAAAGTCATCATTTATCCAGCTGTATCACGGCATTCGTCGCCACTCGCCCATTTCCGTAACCTGCAAGACTCGTCTCCCTATCGATGAATGTTATGTGCGAAAAAAAGACAAACCAATCAAAATGCGCGTAGGATTTCAAGTACTTCGGTCAAAGAATCCCTCAGGAATATTTTTGACTTTACATATGTCTTTCATCTAAAGACATACCCAACATAAGTTAAATGTGTTCAGTCATGCTGTGTTATGCCGTAAGTCCCAATGCGTGTTTAGTAGCATCTGGAATATATATATATATATATATATATATATATATATATATATATGGGGGGGACGATTCTCTCACACGTATACGTTGTTCAAAACACTGATCAAGGGAGGATAACTCCTGTGGCATTGCTGAGCAAACGGAAGTGCAGGGAGTTATGGAAATGTGACATCTATAAACTTCATCGTCTTTTAAAACTATTGCCTGTTCTATTCTTTTGCCCGTCCTTCAAGTGAGTGCGTGAGTTTGATTTTACGACTCTTTTCACAATATCACAACACTATGATGGCTTGGGAACCCCAGAAATTGGCCAATATGGGAATCGAACCCCGGGTCTTCGGTGTCAAGCGAACGCTTTAAACACTTGGCTAACCACCTATACCCGAACAAGAAGTCGCTTGAGGATACCAACGTGGGTATGTACAGTCTGCACTATGGGTGCAACAAGTGATCAAGGCATCGATACATTGCAATGGGACTGTCTCCGTGGTATAGTGGATAGAGCGTCTGCCCGGTGGTTCGACTCCCAGCTGCGTCTTACCAACACAGCAAAGGTGGATCTGTCCCACTGCCATGTCACACACGATATAACTGACAGCAAAGGTTGAACTGTCCCACTGCCATGTTACACACGATATAACTGACAGCAAAGGTGGATCGGTCCCACTGCCATGTCACACACGATACAACTGACATCAAAGGTGGATCTGTCCCACTGCCATGTCACACACGATATAACTGACAGCAAAGGTGGATCTGTCCCACTGCCATGTCACACAAGATATAACTGACAGCAAAGGTGGATCTGTCCCGCTGCCATGTCATACGCGATACAACTGACAGCAAAGGTGGGTCTGTCCCACTGCCATGTTACACACGATACAACTGACAGCAAAGGTGGATCTGTCCCACTGCCATGTAACACACGTTACAACTGACATCAAAGGTGGATCTGTCCCACTGCCATGTCACACACGATATAACTGACAGCAAAGGTGGATCGGTCCCACTGCCATGTCACACACGATACAACTGACACAGCAAAGGTGGATATGTCCCACTGCCATGTCACACACGATATAACTGACAGCAAAGGTTGAACTGTCCCACTGCCATGTTACACACGATATAACTGACAGCAAAGGTGGATCGGTCCCACTGCCATGTCACACACGATACAACTGACATCAAAGGTGGATCTGTCCCACTGCCATGTCACACACGATACAACTGACAGCAAAGGTGGATCTGTCCCACTGCCATGTCACACAAGATACAACTGACAGAAAAGGTGGATCGGTCCCACTGCCATGTCACACACGATACAACTGACATCAAAGGTGGATCTGTCCCACTGCCATGTCACACACGATATAACTGACAGCAAAGGTGGATCTGTCCCACTGCCATGTTACACACGATACAACTGACAGCAAAGGTGGATCTGTCCCACTGCCATGTCACACACGATACAACTGACAGCAAAGGTGGATCTGTCCCACTGCCATGTTACACACGATACAACTGACAGCAAAGGTGGATCTGTCCCACTGCCATGTCATACGCGATACAACTGACAGCAAAGGTGGATCTGTCCCACTGCCATGTCACACACGATACAACTGACAGCAAAGGTGGATCTGTCCCGCTGCCATGTCACACACGATACAACTGACAGCAAAGGTGGATCTGTCCCACTGCCATGTTACACACGATACAACTGACAGCAAAGGTGGATCTGTCCCACTGCCATGTCACACACGATACAACTGACAGCAAAGGTGGATCTGTCCCACTGCCATGTTACACACGATACAACTGACAGCAAAGGTGGATCTGTCCCACTGCCATGTCATACGCGATACAACTGACAGCAAAGGTGGATCTGTCCCACTGCCATGTCACACACGATACAACTGACAGCAAAGGTGGATCTGTCCCACTGCCATGTCACACAAGATATAACTGACAGCAAAGGTGGATCTGTCCCACTGCCATGTCACACAAGATACAACTGACAGAAAAGGTGGATCTGTCCCACTGCCATGTCACACAAGATATAACTGACAGCAAAGGTGGATCTGTCCCACTGCCATGTCACACAAGATATAACTGACAGCAAAGGTGGATCTGTCCCGCTGCCATGTCATACGCGATACAACTGACAGCAAAGGTGGGTCTGTCCCACTGCCATGTTACACACGATACAACTGACAGCAAAGGTGGATCTGTCCCACTGCCATGTCACACAAGATATAACTGACAGCAAAGGTGGATCTGTCCCGCTGCCATGTCACACAAGATATAACTGACAGCAAAGGTGGATCTGTCCCGCTGCCATGTCACACACGATACAACTGACAGCAAAGGTGGGTCTGTCCCACTGCCATGTTACACACGATACAACTGACAGCAAAGGTGGGTCTGTCCCGCTGCCATGTCACACAAGATATAACTGACAGCAAAGGTGGGTCTGTCCCACTGCCATGTCACACACGATACAACTGACAGCAAAGGTGGATCGGTTCCAATGCCATGTAACACACGATACAACTGACATAACAAAGGTGGGTCTGACCCACGGCCTTGTCACACACGATAAAACGTCGCTTTAAGAAGTGGATCTGATTTTACTTATAGATATACTGGTATATTAAACATGGTCAACACACATATTTCAACATATATACACACTCTTTGAGCAGCACACAGGGGAGGTTTGTCTGCACGATAACTTCCTTTTGGCACGGGTGGCTCAGTCGTCTAAGGCGCCGCGATTCGCTGTGCAGAGTTGCGTCCCTTGGGCACGCCAGAAACCTATGATTGTGGGTTCGAATCCCGGTTCACCCCGATGATGTTTCTAGGTTTGTCAGCATCATACCCGTGCTCGTGGGTTTCTCTGAAGTGGTAAATGTCCATGACCTGCATCACTTCGGGCTTTCCTCCCACATTGATCTGACACGCAGCGATATAACTGGAATACTGTTAAAAGCGGCGTTAAACCCAACTCACTCACTCCTTATTGGCGAGTGCGTAATCAGCAACACAATCAACTCAGGCTTAATACTTTTGCTACATGATGAAGTGTATCTTAACATCGGCTTAATTTCCGGTAGGTTTAATGACAACGTTGGTTGAGACAGGTTTGCCCAGCGGGTTGCTCATCTGGGATTACATTGCAGAAACTCATGTTCTATTTCTGGTCAGAATAATTAAATAAGTGCGACAAAACCATTTCCACAATCATAACACATATCTGCTAAATGCCGAGTCCTGTGTATGATTCAAACTGTAGCATAATACATAAACTAAACATAAACGTTATAAACATTTCATTTTCATAAGAAATCTCTTTTAAAAACAGTAAATTGTCCGATTCCGACTATATCGTAAGCATATATTTATTAATCTCTATCAAACAGTGATGGTACCAGGTGTTCGCGAAAGGTTGAGAGTATACTGTCCCACAATGGCACCCGTCACAAACACATGCAAAGGCTAGTCAAATGTTCACCTGAACAAGCATGACATGGTACAAATCAAAATAGGGAATTCATCATTTTGAATTTAGGAACTGTGTACGGTTCTATTTCATAACATTATTATGATATATTTTAGTCACGAATGTGTCTTTCTCCGGCCCTGTTTCACAAAGGAATCTTAGCGACATTTTTTCAAAATATGTCGCGTTGTCTCATTGTCGTCCTTTGGTAAAAGTGAAAAATATTAATATTCAAAGCGCGACAATGCGACAAATGGTCAAAATGTCGCGGTGTCGCACTTTGATTAATTTTGACACTTGTTGCTTGGGGGTTTTTTTATTGACGACAACGGGACAATGTCACTGATAGTCCTTGGTAGGCATTTAGAAGTTGGGAGAACATGAATAAATGACACTGATTCACCTGATGAAGGAGCAAGAAGTAGCTCTGAAACATCGCGGCAAAGAATGAAAGGGCTTGCTATCCATAAACAGTGCCATTTGCTCATGTTCTCCCAACTTCTAGACCCGTGAAGATTCCCGGATAGAATAGGTCTTCAGCAACCCATGCTTGCCGTAAAGGTGACTATGCTTGTCGTAAAAGGCGACACACGGGATCGGGTGCTCAGGCTCGCTGACTTGGTTGATGCATGTCATCGATCCCAATTGCGTGGATCGATGATCATGATATTAATGACTGGAATGTCTGGTCCAGACTCGATTATTAACAGACCGCCGTCATATAGCTGGAATATTGCTGAGTGCGGCGTTAAACCAACCAACCAACCCAACTTCTAAATGCCTATCAAAGACTTCATTCGACATCAACATGGAGATGAGGCTATAAGTGAGAGCATTCACCTGACGAAGGAGCTCTGAAACGTCGTGACGAAGAATGAAAGAAGTTTCTATCCATACACAGTGTCATGTATTGATGTCTCTTCTGGGATTCCATAGTATGGGATGTTCTACGTCGTTGTTCTTTGAAAGATGTTAGTTTTTTATGAACTGCCTTATTGTGAAAGTTTCAAAAATCGTTTATCGTGAAACATATTATAGAAAACAATTATGAGCCACTTTTGTGTCGATCTCCACATGGTTTTGTTTATTGTTTGTTTATTTGTTGTTTGTTTAACGCCGCACAATATTGCAGCTATATGACGGCGGTCTGTAAATAACCTAGTCAGGACCAGACATTCCAGTGATTGGCATCATGAGCATCGATCCACGCAATTGGAATACGATGACATGCATCAACCAAGTCAGCAGGCCTGACCACCCGATCCCAAAGCATGGGTTGCTGAAGACCAATTTGTAACCCGGATCTTCACTGGTACAGATTCACTTGATACCTCTAATGATAAAAACAACGAAGATGAGTAAAATGTAAAACATTTATTCATGAACAATTCATTTATTTTCTTATCTAAAATGATGCAAACATTAATTCACTTGTCATGTTCTAATTAGCAAACATATTGTTAAATATACATGTACATCTTGTTTTGGAAATATATTTTTCACGTAACAACAAAAATATAGAATATATTTCAACAAAGTATCTCATGAAAAAATATTTTTGGCATGATGAATGTGTGTGCATGATTCAGGAACTAGAAATATAACATATGATGAATACAACAAATAAATATATGCAACAATATACATTGAGAACTTGGTCCCAAAATCACCGAGGAATTACTCAGATGAAGATTGAATACTGAAAACAAACTGTATACTGTCCCCCAAAAGAAACACAAAAGAAATAAAAACATATTGAAAGCATAAGTGAGAAAACTTTCATTGCGATAAAAACGTCTTTAGGAGTAATTTGGGGTTCAAGCCTGTGTGTACAGTATTTAAGTTATATCACTGCATGCCAGTCTGATGTTGGAGGAAAGACCGAAATGATGTAGGTCTAAGGCCTTATTAAGCACTTTGTTGAAAAGGATATGGTGCAGACAAACCAAGAAACATAATCTGGGCAAACCCGGATTTGAACTCACGATCACAGGTTTCTGGCACACTTAGAGGACACAAGTGAGTGAGTGAGTGAGTGAGTGAGTTGTGTTTAACGACTATTTAACAGTATTCAATTTATAACACAGCGTGTCAGCTTGATGTGGGGGGAAAGCCCGAAGTGATGAGGTCTTAGACGTTTACCACTTCGGTGAAACCCACGAGCACGGGTATGGTGCTGCCAAACCTAGAAACATAATCGGGTTGAACCGGGATTCGAACTCACAATCATAGGTTTCTGGCGTGCCCAAGGAACGCAACTGCACAGCGAATTGCGGAACCTTAGATTACTGGGCCACCCGTGCCCCCTTAGGGGACACAACTCTGTAAAACCAATTGCAGCACCTAACACCACTGGGCCAATCCATTTTAAACAATGTATGGTGTTTAATACCATTCCCCATCCCATGCTTATGTCCCCTTGGGGATTCCAGGCAGAACAGGCCACCAGTATCCCATGCTTATGTCCCCTTAGGGATTCCAGGCAGAACAGGCCACCAGTATCCCATGCTTATCTCCCCTTGGGGATTACAGGCAGAACAGGCCACCAGTATCCCATGCTTATCTCCCCTTGGGGATTCACGGCAGAACAGGCCACCAGTATCCCATGCTTATCTCCCCTTGGGGATTCCAGGCAGAACAGGTCATCACGATCCCATGCTTATCTCCCCTTGGGGATTCCAGGCAGAACAGGCCACCAGTATCCCATGCTTATCTCCCCTTGGGGATTCCAGGCAGAACAGGCCACCAGTATCCCATGCTTATCTCCCCTTGGGGATACCAGGCAGAACAGGCCACCAGTATCCCATGCTTATCTCCCCTTAGGGATTCCAGGCAGAACAGGCCACCAGTATCGCATGCTTATCTCCCCTTGGGGATTCCAGGCAGAACAGGCCACCAGTATCCCATGCTTATCTCCCCTTGGGGATTCCAGGCAGAACAGGCCACCAGTATCCCATGCTTATCTCCCCTTGGGGATTCCAGGCAGAACAGGCCACCAGTATCCCATGCTTATCTCCCCTTGGGGATTCCAGGCAGAACAGGCCACCAGTATCCCGTGCGATGATCAAGCAACATCAAAGGAATGGCCTTCACCCATACCCAAGTGTGGAATCAAACCCTGGTCTTGACAAGCGAAGACTATAACCATGAGGCCATCCAATCACCTAGGAGATGGGTCTGCACTGACATTTATAATTAATATCAAGTTATTTAATCTGGCAAGACAGGATGACTTTTAGGAAGCAGTTCAAGAGTATGATCGATATAGGATAAAAAGACTTTTTTATACTCCCCATTCCCCATGCAACTTAATTGTAAACATATTGACATTATCAGTCTCTTGAACTGTATAAAATTGTATTGGGTTTAAACTTAAAATAAAATGATTATGCTTTTCAACTTTATAATGGAGCATACATCTTGGGACAAGGACTAAAGAAAAATAAAAAATAAAAAATAAAGTGCATCAATGCATTAGTTAAACAAATGTGTCAATGACTATAGAGGAAATTATGCCGACTAAACTTAATAGGACTTCTTCACCCTTTCCTTCTGGGCCCACTTGCACAAAGCGATCTTAGCCCTAAGATGATCTTAACTCCCATGCTTTAACATAGGCTTACAATAGTCGTAGCGCTAAGATCGCTTTGTGCAAGTGGGCCCTGATCCAACTCCCACACTGCTTGCAAACGAATTGAATGAACTATAAAGGGCACTACTAAGCCTTTACATTACAAGTAAGTGAGTGAGGAGGGGTTTACGCCGCTTTGGGCAATATTCCAGCAATATGACAGCAGGGGACACCAGAAATGTACATTAAAAGTGAACTAATTCGTTCGTCATTGGAATCAGAACAAACAGATTGTCAGTTTTGAAAACCCTGGTATCAGTTAATGCTATGTAAGTCATTTGAACCCCATGCGATCCATGCAATTGGGATCGATGACATACTTCAAACAAGTCAGCAAGCCAATGTAAGTCAACTAAACCCTGTTATCAACTAATTGTATGTACGATAAGTCAACTAGACCCCAGTATCAGCTAATTCAATATAAGTCAACTAGACCCTGGTATGAGCTAATTCAATGTAAGTCAACTAGACCCTGGTATCAGCTAATTCAATGTAAGTCAACTAGACCCCAGTATCAGCTCATTCAATATAAGTCAACTAGACCCCAGTATCAGCTAATTCAATATAAGTCAACTAGACCCCAGTATCAGCTAATTCAATATAAGTCAACTAGACCCCAGTATCAGCTAATTCAATATAAGTCAACTAGACCCTGGTATGAGCTCATTCAATGTAAGTCAACTAGACCCTGGTATCAGCTAATTCAATGTAAGTCAACTAGACCCCAGTATCAGCTCATTCAATATAAGTCAACTAGACCCCAGTATCAGCTAATTCAATATAAGTCAACTAGACCCCAGTATCAGCTAATTCAATATAAGTCAACTAGACCCTGGTATCAGCTAATTCAATATAAGTCAACTAGACCCTGGTATCAGCTAATTCAATGTAAGTCAACTAGACCCTGGTATCAGCTAATTCAATATAAGTCAACTAGACCCTGGTATCAGCTCATTCAATATAAGTCAACTAGACCTCAGTATCAGCTAATTCAATATAAGTCAACTAGACCCTGGTATCAGCTAATTCAATGTAAGTCAACTAGACCCCAGTATCAGCTAATTCAATATGTCAACTAGACCCCAGTATCAGCTAATTCAATATAAGTCAACTAGACCCTGGTATCAGCTAATTCAATGTAAGTCAACTAGACCCTGGTATCAGCTAATTCAATGTAAGTCAACTAGACCCCAGTATCAGCTAATTCAATATAAGTCAACTGGACCCTGGTATCAGCTAATTCAATATAAGTCAACTAGACCCTGGTATCAGCTAATTCAATGTAAGTCAACTAGACCCCAGTATCAGCTAATTCAATATGTCAACTAGACCCCAGTATCAGCTAATTCAATATAAGTCAACTAGACCCTGGTATCAGCTAATTCAATGTAAGTCAACTAGACCCTGGTATCAGCTAATTCAATGTAAGTCAACTAGACCCCAGTATCAGCTAATTCAATATAAATAAACTTGACCCTGGTATCAGCTAATTCAATATAAGTCAACTAGACCCTGGTATCAGCTAATTCAATATAAGTCAACTAGACCCTGGTATCAGCTCATTCAATATAAGTCAACTAGACCTCAGTATCAGCTAATTCAATATAAGTCAACTAGACCCTGGTATCAGCTAATTCAATGTAAGTCAACTAGACCCCAGTATCAGCTAATTCAATATGTCAACTAGACCCCAGTATCAGCTAATTCAATATAAGTCAACTAGAGTCCCAGTATCAGCTCATTCAATATAAGTCAACTAGACCCTGGTATCAGCTAATTCAATATAAGTCAACTAGACCCTGGTATCAGCTTATTCAATATAAGTCAACTAGACCCTGGTATCAGCTCATTCAATATAAGTCAACTAGACCCCAGTATCAGCTAATTCAAAATAAGTCAACTGGACCCTGGTATCAGCTAATTCAATATAAGTCAACTAGACCCTGGTATCAGCTAATTCAATATAAGTCAACTAGACCTCAGTATCAGCTAATTCAATATAAGTCAACTAGACCCTGGTATCAGCTAATTCAATATAAGTCAACTAGACCCCAGTATCAGCTCATTCAATGTAAGTCAACTAGACCCTGGCATCAGCTAATTCAATATAAGTCAACTAGACCCCAGTATCAGCTAATTCAATATAAGTCAACTAGACCCTGGTATCAGCTCATTCAATATAAGTCAACTAGACCCTGGTATCAGCTCATTCAATATAAGTCAACTAGACCCTGGTATCAGCTCATTCAATATAAGTCAACTAGACCCTGGTATCAGCTCATTCAATATAAGTCAACTAGACCCTGGTATCAGCTAATTCAATATAAGTCAACTAGACGCTGGTATCAGCTCATTCCATGTAAGTCAACTAGACCCTGGTATCAGCTAATTCAATATAAGTCAACAAGACCCTGGTATCAGCTACTTCAATATAAGTCAACTAGACTCTGGTATCAGCTAATTCAAAATAAGTCAACTAGACCCTGGTATCAGCTGACACGATGTAAACACAACTTAACTCTGAGGACAGAGTTGTAAATATAAAATAAATTCTGATAATCTCCTAACAATAAACAACTGACATCAAAATACAAGGGTCTGACTCATACACCATCAACTGATTCATCATCACTTATCTCCCTCCAGCATTCCATCAAAGACACACTTGCCCCCGTGAGACATAGCATCGGGATGAGAAAAACATGGGACTGAAAGTTCTAAACATTGCCTTCATGCTTGTATTGAATACAGTTCTCATTTTTGACCTCGAGTATCCTTGTGGAATTGTGAGTGAAAGACATTAATCGTGTGACCACAGTAGCATCAGTGTGTCTGACATTGAAAGAGTGAGTGAGTGAGTGAGTGAGTTGGGTTTAATGCCACTTTTAACAGTATTCCAGTCATATCACAGCGTGTCAGCTTAATGTGGGAGGAAAGCCGAAGTGATGCAGGTCTCAGACGTTTACCACTTATGTGAAACCCACGAGCAAAGTATGTTGCTGACAAACCCAGAAACATAATCAGTGTTAAGCAGGATTCGAACCCATGAACATAACCACTCGCAATTTCCAGCATTCCCAAGGGATGCAACTCTGCACAGAAAATTGCAGCACCTTCGATGCCAGAGGTTTACCACTTATGTGAAACCCACGAGCACGGGTATGGTGCTGACAAACCTAGAAACATAATCGGGGCGAACCGACATTGAAAGAGGCATGTCAATCTTTAATCATCGCCAGATGAATAATATTACAAGAGTTAGTGACAAAATTCCATACAAAGTAACAAATGGATGACAGAATATGCCCTCATCATGTATAGGACCATCTTTCTGAGGCAAGAGCGTCCACTAGCCTTTTTATCAAAGTCCTGTTTCTATTCTTGCTACACCAAGCCCACTTTCCTGTGCTAAATATGACTGGACCATCGTACATATTGATAGTCCAATCAGAGAACATTCATAAAATCAACATCCACGACTGATACACCTTCGTATGAAAGTGATTTACTGCTGGAATATGGCTTTTTCATTTTCTAAACCCCCCAACGATGTTCTTGTGTTAGGAATGAAATCACGAACGTTTTGGTCGTCGCGTATGGTAGTTGCCATCTTTTGTGAAGCTATACGGGATAAGAACAGCGATTTGATTGGATATCGCCTTTTCACTTTACAAGGGGCACAACTCCTGATCTACGCAAGGTGGCGCCAGGATCGGGGCAAGAAAAGTGGCCTTGATGTGGCAAGGGTAGAAACTAGGCTTTGACAGGCTTGCCTCAGGAACATGGTACATGACAGAGATGGCAGGCTCTTGTCAACATATTAATTACTTTTTAAAAAAAGAATTGCTCCGTAAAGGGTGACAGATTGCCCCTTTTTTTTCATGACATGTTGATATTTTGGATTCATCAGAGATCTATCCAGGATCACTAAATGACTTTGGTGGGCAAATTTTGAAAAATACCTATTATCTTTTTTCTGATGTATCGTAACATTGTATTTTTACATTGTATTCTAACATCATATTATGACATTATATTTTAAAATGATAGTTTAACATTGTATTATGACATTGTATTATGACATTATATTCTAACATTGTATTCTAACATTTTCTTTTAACATTATATTCTAACATTGTATTCTAACATTGTATTTTAACGATGTATTATGACATTGTATTTTGACATTGTATTCTAACATTGTATTATGACATTGTATTTTAACATTGTATTATGACATTGTATTTTAACATTGTATTATGACATTGTATTTTAACATTGTATTTTGACATTGTCTTTTAACATTGTATAACAACATTGCATTTTGACATTGTTTTTAACATTGTATTACAACATTGTGTCATGAAATTGCTGTGGATTTGTGGCCGTTATCAGCCTCTGAGCAGCCTAGATGAATCACTGATACATTTATAAGATCATTTCAAAAATATGCTTTTGTAATTTTTGTCAATTTTTCTTAAGGATATTTAACAATTACTGTATATTAAGGATCTGATAGTACTGTTTCTTCTTGTACTTGTTTCCTGCATGTTTCCCCCAAACAATACAGCTGTGTGGTAAATATGACATATACAGTAAAAGCAGCAACTCAAATATCCCCAAACTTAGCTGTTTATATTTCTTCTACAGTAATATTTTCATATACTTCTTCTGATGTTGTGTTTTTCAACTGAATCCCCTGTAATCACAGGAGCACAACTGCATGTATAAATGATTGCTACTTCCAGCTTATCTTAAGAGACAATTACAGGCAAAGGTATTAATCTCTGCATCTGAAACAATATCTATCAGTACAGGAAATACAATTGAAATTGTAAATCATGATATCTGGGGATCTTACTCACTAAGTATACATTCATATTGACAAAGTTTGTTTTCTCCAGTTCATTCACCTAAGCGATACAATATAGTTTTGCTTTTTCACATTCTATGAGATTGCAATTTTTCCCAAGATAGGGAACTTTAACATTAAAGTGTAAAAGTTGGATATAAGTCTTTTGATATCAGAATTCATATTTCTATAACCGGGACAACAGAGGAATTAATTTACATCTTACTACCATCAATAAATCAACCATCACATGGACATTTTTATGGTAAGCAAACACTTAACAAATGCTAAAAACATTCCTGCAATATGATGACTATTGAATATACAATGGTCACAAAAGAAAACAAAACAATATCTGTTCATATTCAATGAAAACAAGACACCCTACTTATCAAAATCACACATTTCTTGATCTTCATGTACTTTAATCCAAAGGACAGAATAAGACATCTATCTGAAGTATAATTCACTGATCATTCAAACTCCCCACCTCCATACTTGCAAAACGTCATGAACTTAACCTTGACATCACAGTGACCCTTTTTATCAAGGTCACAAGAGGCACATGACCACTGGTTCACAACACAGTGTAAAGGCCATTTCAGAAGTTTCTCTCCAAAAATATCCGTATAATAATCCATATTTTGAAAGTCAGGTCCATTTGTATATTGGGGTCAATTCTTTGCAATGGAGTGGCATCATTTTCTCGAAAGGTCACAGGTTAAAGGTCACGGGTTAAAGGTCAAAGGTAACGCATGGTCACAAGTCAAGGGTCAAACGCCATGCATGGTCACAGGTCATAGGTAATATGACTATTCAGTGTGAACCTGAACAACACCAAATGAACTTGATTTCAAACACAGTATAGACACAGAAAATATATGCTCCATGGAATTTTTCAGCTTGTAAACAGGTTGTCCTGTAGTTGTGATTGGGGCACATTATTATAAGTTGGAAAAAAGCTGTGCAGCGGGAGTTTGGCATAGGCAGACTTTATGATCTTGATGCGCTCTGCCCGAGAAACTGTCCGATTGCCATCAATAATTCGTGTAGACAGGCTGTCATGGTCCATGGTGCCTACTGTTGGAGACGGCAGAGGCATCTGCTGATTGTGCGGCTGTGTTGAAGTGTGGCTCGACATGGCCGGAGGACTGGTGTCCCATGAAGGATTACTGACTAGGCTGTCCACTCTGTGCGAATAGTCTAACACAGGCTGGGAATACACATTGGATAAAGATGGGAGTGGTGACAGCTGCTGGTGATGGGGGGATGGAGGAACTGAGTCACGATTATGATGGTTTCTTTGAGCGATTGGCAATTGATGGGTGTGAGAAGTTGGTGAGAAGTTGGAGCCTGGATGAGGAACATTGCTCTGAAGAACAGACATAGACCTGCTTGATTGTGAGGGTGAATGTATCCTTGTGCTGGGGCTAGATGCTGTGAATGAAGCACTGTTCATTGATGACTGTGAGTATGTGCTGCTGGGGGAGGGGGCGAGACTTCCTTGGGGCGACGTCATCATGGAACTTTCCTGGATACTGTGATTGGGGGACTGACGTAGGCTGTTGGGAGATGAATCTGTGAAACTGGTGCGAGGAAACTGTCGGCTACCCTTGTCAGAGAATCGATAACTTGTTCCCGAAGAGTGGGAACCTTCACTTGAAGCATCCATCATTGTTGGGTAAAACGTGGGTTCAATCTCGCCTAGGTCAACCTGGGTCATGGTGGCACTAGCTGTCGACTGTGCCCTCGGGAACGTCATATGTCCAAGTGTGCACTGGGGCACATCTGTCTCTGGCACTGTCGTCTGCTGTGGAGTCCCTTCCGGGGAAGTCATCTGTGGGGTTGATGGACTGAATCTCTTCTGGTGGTTCAGCTTGTCCTGGAGGCACTGCAGTTCTGCTTGTTGCTTAGCCTTGCTGGCCTGGAAACAGAGTACATGGGTTTAATGCAGATTATTTTAGTCATATCACAGCATGTGATTTTGTCTTGTTTGTCTTGTTACTGTATTTTGTAGTTATTCTTGTGACACGTGCATGTGCAGAAGCAGATGAGGTTGTCATGTGGTTACATGAAGCTTGTGATCACGTGCATATTCCAACTAACTACACCTTCTTCAGTGAACGGGGGATGGGTGGCCCAGTCATCTAAGGTGCTTTGCAGAGTTGCATCCCTTAGACATGCCAGAAACCTATGATTGTGGGTTCACCCTGATCATGGTTCTAGGTCTGTCAGCACAATGCCCGTGCTCGTGGGTTTCACCAAAGTGGTAAACGTCTGATACCTGCATCACTTCGGGCTTTCCTCCCACATTAAGCTGACACGCCGCGATATAACTGGAATACTGTTAAAAGCAGCGTTAAACTGACTCCCTCAATCACTTCAGTGAACAAGTTATAGCACACGTTATGCCCTAGAATCTAATAAAACTTGAAAAGATGTGTGGGTGCCAGTAACTTCAATATTATTTCAATCTTTAGAACCAAATAAAATCAATATACAAAGAATAGTTTAAAAGACATCTGGTGTGGTGTGGTGTGGTGTGGTGCGTTGCGGTGCGGTGCGATGCGGTGCGGTACATGCATGTCACCAGTCCTTGCTTTAGCCCTTTAATGCCAAGCACCAGGCAGGGTAACAAGTACCAACTTTTAACGTGGTTTGGTATGACACAGCTAGGGATCTTACAACCCAAACGTGACATTCTCCAGACAGACACACTATCCACCATACCAGGGTCACCAGATGATGAGATCCAATACCTTTATTGAGTGAAGACGTTCACATATTTTCTGAAAAGTGGCAGAACAATGTCCGACTTCCTGCACCTTCTTCAGTTCCGACTCCAGCATCGCAATCACAGCTTCCTGCTCCAACAGACTCCGCTGCATCAGCATATGCTTCCGCTTCAGCTGTTCCGTGAAGTTCCGGACAAAGTTCGGCAGAGCTTTCATTGCAGCACTGCCTGGAGACTCTGGGGACATATTCTCCTGGAAACATCAAAGAAAGAACACTTCAGAATGATGCCATTCCCTTCCATTAGTGAATCTGGTTTAACATTGCTTTGAATTCTATAGTTACTAATCACGCATGTCAGCTTGATGTGGGAGGAAAGCCCGAAGTGATGCAGGTCTCTGATGTTTACCACTTCGGTGTAACCCACGAGCAAAGTATGGCGCTGACAAACCCAGAAACATAATCAGCGTTAGGCAGGATTCGAACCCATGAACATAACCACTTGCAATTTCCAGCATTCCCAAAGGATGCAACTCTGCACAGAAAATTGCAGCACCTTCGATGCCACCCATGCTCCTCCGACCTTGGGTTTAATACTGCAATGACCACATGTCACTTCTGTAAGGGCATGTAGGAGTGAGTGGTCATGAGAGATTTATGAGAGAGATTTGGGTTTAACATTGCTTTAAACATTTTAGTTCTATGACAGCATGTCAGCCTGAATAGGTGAGTGTGTATGGTGGGTGAGTATTTATGCGCTTTTACCAATATCACAGGAATATCACAACGGGGGACACCAGAAAAATGAACTTATGTGGGGAATCGAACCCAGACCTTTGGCATGTCAAGCAAACACTTCACTTCAAACATTCTAGTTCTATGACAGCATGTCAGCTTGAATAGGTGAGTGTGTATGGTGGGTGAGTATTTACGCTGCTTTTACCAATATTACAGCAATATCACAACGGGGGACACCAAAAAAATGAACTTATGTGGGGAATCGAACCCAGCCCTTTGGCATGTCGAGCGAACACTTCAACCATTTGGCCACACACACACCACCACCCCCCCACCTCCATCTACAGCAGCATTGACGTCACATACAACAGCATTAACGTGACCTACAACAGCACTCACATCACCTACAACAGCATTGACTTCACTACAACAGCACTGACATCATCTACAGCAGCATTGACTTCATCCACAACATACCTGGTCAGAAACAGTTGATGATTTACTTGGTGAGGCAATATCAGTACCCACAGACATCTCAGACACTGAAAGAAAACCAGAGTTATTACTCACAGGTGTGTTCTGTTAATAAAAATAATAATAATTGATTTGTAAAGCGCCTAACATCCATCGACAGTTGCTCACTGGCGCTGTGACAAAGTTAAAAAGTAATATCTATGTACATATGCCAACAATCAGGAGATCTATTGAAAAGCTGAAGTGAAGAAGTGGGTTTTGAGGAGAGACTTAAATTTTTCTTTAGAAGCAGAGTTTCTCAGATTCAAAGGCAAAGCGTTCCATAACTGTGGACTGCAAAAGGAGAGGGCACGGTCAGACATAGCAGAAGTAGACAGAGGCTGATACAGTAGAGTTCCACCAGAGTATCGGAGAGCACGCTCTGGAGTGTACAGAGATATAAGATCTTTGAGATAGTCTGGATAGTCGCTATTGTTGAGGCAGTCGTGAGTGATGATACATATCTTATAGTGTATACGAAAGGAGACTGGAAGCCAGTGTAGTAACAGTCTATTGAATTAATTCATCTAAACCATCATGTACGATGTACTAGGATGTAGGAGACACAACTGTTCACTGGTGTACATTTAGGTTGGTTGGTTGGTTGGTTGGTTGGTTGGTTGGTTGGTTGGTTTGTTGTTTAACGCCACACTCAGCAATATTCCAGCTATATGACGGCGGTCTGTAAATAATCGAGTCTGGACCAGACAATCCAGTCATTGACATCATGAGCATCGATCCAAGCAATTGGGATCCATGACATGCATCAACCAAGTCAGCGAGCCTGACCACCCGATCCCGTTTGTCGCCTTTTACGACAAGCATAGTCACCTTTTACGGCAAGCATGGGTTGCTGAAGACCTATTGAAGACCTACCCGGAATCTTCACAGGTCGTACATTTAGGAGATAAACAGTATATGATTTCAAATTTTTTCAATATAATAAAATTATTCAACATTTATGAAATTTGGGTCTGCGAACAATAAACCAAGAAATTAAAAACATGTTGAGTCAAAAAACAAAACAAATCCACAAGTGAACATACTTGGGCTTTCGTTGTTCTGGTGTCTTGGTGATGGCGTTACCCGTGGATCGGGAGTCGATGCCTCCATTGACGTACGAGGGGAGAGGCCACTCTCACAAACTGGTGCCAAAACTCGGGATGACTTCAAAACAGGCATCGGCGCCTTGTCAGCATGGTCTGTCAACAACAGTTTTAACATGGAGCCAGCAGGTCTTTCGCTGGAACAACATCCTTTTGGACTGGACATTTGCGAGTGGTTATCTCCCTTGGAAATGGTGTCCAAGCCCGGTGGCCGGCTTCCTCCTACCCTGGGACAACAGTTAACCTTACCATGTCCATCTGGTGACAAGGCAGTGACATTCACTCTACTCATGTCTGCTTCACTCATGATGCTTTCTTCAATGAGCCTAACAAAAGGATCAACAGCTCTTTTCCGAGAATTTTCAGGTTTCGTAGATGCAGATGGTGTGGCAGACATTGTTGTGTCGTTCTGGGGCTGCTTTTCCACTGATGATCGGATGACATTGCCAAAAGGTGTTGTATACTGTGACTGTTGCCAGTTGGCACTCTCACACGTGTCGTCATGCACTGTGTGGTCGTTGGAGCCAATCAGTGTGTCCGACATCATAGTCAAGATGTCATCTGTGAACATCTTTTCAGCCTTTGTGGAATCAATTTCTTCTTTCTGAAGGGCAAGTTTTCTCTGTCCTTCTTCTTGTCTGGAAAGTAACAGAGAAAATTAAGTGTGGGTGAGTAAATCTGCAGTCTTTAAGTCTTTTTTTAAGACTTGGATCAGACTGACAACAAAAACTTTGAGAACACTATCAACTTTCTCTAACACCTGGGTCAGACTGACAATGAACACTTGCATAACTCTATCAATTTTCTCTAAGACTTGGTTCAGCCTGACAATGAACACTAGGATAACACTATCAACTTCTCTAAGACTTGGTTCAGCCTGACAATGAACACTCGCATAACACTATCAACTTCTCTAAGATTTGGTTCAGACTGACAATGAACACTCGCATAACACTATCAACTTTCTCTAACACTTGGTTCAGACTGACAATGAACACTCGCATAACACTATCAACTTCTCTAAGACTTGGTTCAGACTGACTATGAACACTCGCATAACACTATCAACTTCTCTAAGACTTGGTTCAGCCTGACAACGAACACTCGCATAACACTATCAACTTTCTCTAACACTTGGTTCAGACTGACAATGAACACTCGCATAACACTATCAACTTTCTCTAAGATTTGGTTCAGACTGACAATGAACACCTGCATAACAAAATCAATTTTTCTCTAAGACTTGGTTCAGACTGACAATGAACACTAGAATAACACTATCAACTTTCTCTAACACCTGGGTCAGACTGACAATGAACACTTGCATAACTCTATCAATTTTCTCTAAGACTTGGTTCAGACTGACAATGAACACTAGGATAACACTATCAACTTTCTCTAACACCTGGTTCAGACTGACAATGAACACTTGCATAACTCTATCAACTTTCTCTAAGACTTGGTTCAGACTGACAATGAACACTAGGATAACACTATCAACTTACTCTAAGACTTGGTTCAGACTGACAATGAACTTTGCCTTTTTAGTCCACTGGTCCCGGGCAACACAGGAGGAAGATTGTACGAAAATGTAGGTCCCACTGGCAGTCTTCACACGGAATATTGTCTGTGGGACAAGGTCGTCTTTCATAACTGTAATGTACACGAGAACATTCATATAACTCCACTGTAGCACAACCTTGAAAACACAATGTGTTTTATCTTGATACACCATGTGCTACCATAACAGTTCAATCCTATTCCTCATGGGCAGTTCCTAAGTCAAAAGCAACACGCCACTTGTTTCAAGAGTTTCAAGATTCATTCATGAAACAAAGAAGATGACGATCCAGTGATTGACATCATGAGCATGGATCAATGCAATTGGGATACAATGACATGCATCAACCAAGTCACTGAGCCTCACCCAATCCATTTAGTCACCTCTTACGAGTGAGTGAGTGAGTGAATGAATTTGGTTTTACACCGCTTTTAGCAATATTCCAGCAATATCATGGCGGGGGACACCAGAAATGGGCTTCACACATTGTACCCATGTCGGGAATTGAACCCGGGTTTCGGCGTGACGAGTGAGTGCTTTAACCACTAGGCTACCCGACCGCTCCTGCCTCTGATGACAAGCATAGGGCAAGCATGGGTTGCTAAAGACCTATTCTACTCCGGATCTTCATGGGTAGGTAACAAGTACCATTACAACACACATTTGGAAAATGTTGACTGGTGTTAGAACTTGACCTACTGGACATAGGCCGTTTAATGCTGGCGTTATATGACGGAGGTCTGTAAATAATCCAGTGATTAACATCATGAGCATCAAACTATGCAATTGGGATACGATGACATGCATCAACCAAGTCAGCAAGCCTGACCACCCGATCCCGTTAGTCGCCTCTTATGACAAGCATAGTCACCTTTTACGGCAAGCATGGGTTGCTGAAGACCTATTCTACCCAGATCTTCACTGGTTGACACACTATCAACCAAGCCACCATGCCTCACCCGAATCATTTAGTAGCTTCTTACAACTAGCACATGTTGCTGGATACTTATAATGTTCTGAACAGTGATCCCCACAGGAAATAACAATACTAACAGACAGGCCATTTTAAAGGGAAGCTTCGGCTAGGACTGTTTTTTCAAGACATTTTGTCCTAGGGCATACTTGAAAAATAATTTGGCCACTGTGTTTAAAAAAGACAATAATTATTCACTGGCTGTCCTGATATAATTTAAGTAGTAGGTGATAATTTTGGGGTCCTTATTTCAGAGTGAGTGAGTGAGTTGGGTTTAATCCAAATTTTAACAGTATTCCAGTTATGTCACAGCATGTCAGTTTAATGTGGGAGGAAAGCCCAAAGTGATGCAGGGCTTAGATGTTGAGCAATTCGGTGAAACCCACGAGCACGGGTGTGGTGCGGACAAACCTTGAAACAAAATCGGGGCTAACCAGGATTCGAACCCACATCATGGATTTCTGATTTCACTTTGTTCATAGAAAAAAATGCATGTCTAAAAGTCTAAGCAAGTGACTAAATTTTGTTGTTGTATCTAACAAAACTATCCCGCTAGCATATTTCCCTGAGCAACTAACTGGTTTCATGTGTTCGATTTTGCTGCATTTAATCAGCCCCTTCCCACCATCTAGGGGAGGGAATTACTGGATTTGCTATTTCTGTGCACCGTGATACGATTGAGCCATTTCATGAGCAGCACACATGGATGAGAATTGTAATAAGTATACTGCACGCAACTGACTTCGCCTGGTGATTCTCAGAGAAGCTATTAATGGAGTGTGGTTGCGGGATTCTCAGAGAAGATAGAAGTGGGGTTGGGGTTTCTCAGAGAAGATAGAAGTGGGTTTTGGGTTATTTAGAGAAGATAGAGGTGGGTTTGGGGTTTCTCAGAGAAGATAGAGGTGGGTTTTGGGTTATTTAGAGAAGATAGAGGTGGGTTTGGGTTTTTCAGAGAAGATAGAAGTGGGTTTGGGGTTACTCAGAGAAGATACAGGTGGGTTTGGGGTTTCTCACAGAAGATAGAAGTGGGGTTGTGGGTTTCTAAGAGAAGATAGAAGTGGGGTTTGGGTTACTCAGAGAAGATAGAAGTGGGGTTGGGGTTTCTCAGAGAAGATAGAAGTGGGGTTTGGGTTACTCAGAAAAGATAGAAGTGGGGTTGGGGTTTCTCACAGAAGAAAGAAGTGGGGTTGAGGGTTTCTCAGAGAAGATAGAAGTGGGGTTGAGGGTTTCTCAGAGAAGATAGAAGTGGGTTTGGGCTTTATAAGAGTGAGTGAGTGAGTGAGTATGGTTTAGCACCGCTTTTAGCAATATTCCAGCAATATCACGGCGGGGGACACCAGAAATGGGCTTCACACATTGTACCCATGTCGGGAATCGAACCCGGGTCTTCGGCGTGACGAGCGAACGCTTTAACCACCAGGCTACCCGACCGCCCCCAGGGCTTTATAAGAAGATAGAAGCTGGACCAACCAAATGATCCCTTTGTTCTATTGATTCACCTGCCTTGCAAAAGTGTAGAAACAAGTTGTTTCCCTAATACAATGGCTTAGCCATAAATATGAACACCTTGATAATCAACGGTGATTTCAACATAATATCCGATGCCCTGAGTTGTCTGATGATTCTTGGTTAACAGAATTACAAGATTTCATCGATTAGTTGCCAGTATGTCTAGACAGTGCTGGGATCGCTTAGACAAATTATACTGACAACATCCCCCATGTTGCATGAGGTGCACTGTGATGTTGGGGTTGGTTTTTTGTTTGCTGTTTAATGCTACACTCAGCAATATTCCAGCAATATGATGGTGAATCTAGGCAGGTAATTCAGTGGTCGATATTATGAGCAACAGTCCATGTTGGTGAAATACAAAAATGCAGGTAGAAATATAATTTTCACACAAAAAAATAGTTCAACGGATATGCTGGAAAATGTAAACATTAGTCTGCTGTGGGTCCTAACGCAAATATTCGGTACCTCCTTTCGGAGAAACAAATTTTATGTCTTGACAGAGCTACAGATAAGCAGCATATTTGTGTAAAATACCCCCAAAATATATTCAAAACCCAATTACTTTTAATAAACTTGAGTACAGAAATGCATGCATTAAATGAAAAAGTCGAATGTATAAAAACTGCATGCGTATATATATAAATACCCAGTGAAGCTTTACAATTTACTTTCCGAGTCAAGCCTATATATTTAGAACAGTTACCGTATTTTCTGCGCATAATATTCAAATTTCTTTTTTTCCAAAATATTGAACCCGCTAGAGGGGGGTGCGCATTATACATGGGTGCGCACTATACTCAAGAAAATACGGTATATACATGTACATCTAAATCATTATTTCACTTTTTTTTAAATCTTAAAATCTTCACTAATTTTGGGAAAACCCAATAGAGTCATGAATAGATGAGTGAAGAAATATTGGTTACCCAATGAAAAATGTAATAACCCTATTAGAATAGAAACCCTAGAGTCAAAACTCAATTGCTCAAAAAGTTATCTGGAGCTCTGTCCTGAGTGCTGGCTTAAGTTACATTCAGTCTCAGGGGTGGTCGGGTAGCCTAGTGGTTAAAGCGCTCACTCGTCACACCAAAGACCCGGGTTCGATTCCCGACATGGGTACAATGTGTGAAGCCCATTTCTGGTGTACCCCGCCGTGATATTGCTGGAATATTGCTAAAAGAGGCGTAAAACCATACTCACTCACTCACTCACATTCGGTCTCAAACAAAGTTCCCAGTCCCCACTCCCCCATCCCATATCACACCCATGCATCCAACCCATGAGATACTCTCCCAAGTGTTAAATGTCCGGTCCGTAACAACTCACTCTTTAAGTGGCTTGTTGCAACTGCTTCCAAGTCATCATGATGAAGAAAGTTGTAGGGTGAGTACCCCAAGCGCTCGGAGGGAAGGAACCCGGTGATCCAACTAGATCTGGAACAATAATCATAGCTTATTGTTACACCTCTCTTTAGAATCTTGCAATCCCATCGGTTAACCATACCACATGACAATATACATTTCAATGTGGTCCCTGAAATCATGTGACTGACACTGACCTCGTCACATGATGAATATTGACTCGTCTGCTAGAAAACAAGAAAGAATTAAACTTTAAAGTGAATTTCAGTATACCGTAACAAATGGATCCTCTTGAAGAGGTGAAGAGGTGATAACAAGAACCCTCAGACCCGACCCCTTCCCCAGTCCTCATGCATTTATCACAATTATTTGTATAATATGGTCGCAGAGTGATGCGGGTAGTATACACTTTACCATCTTGTTTAAACCCACAAGCATGTTCATGGAGAGCAAGTTTGGTTTAAAGGAATGAGTATGCATGATTTAACACTGCTTTGAACGGTATTCAAGTTATATCATGACATTTGGTTTAATTAAGACTCGACTTCAATATTATAATGTTTATAACTCCAAAATGCAAAAACAAACTCAATTCTTATAAATATATAAGTCAACAACAATAATAAAATAAACTGCACAGACTGTTTATTTAATCAACACAAACAGACCTGTAGTAGGTAATATGAAATAAGTGACATTGTTCAGCAATAATGCAAGGCAAGCCTCGTTCTCTTGTCAGCCAATCAGGAAACAGTCGTCTGTTAGAGGTGAGGTGAAATGGGGTTTAACGTCACGTCCAAGATTATTGCACTCATATAGCGACGTGCATGCATGTGTGTGTGGCTGCTTGTACTAGTCCGGACTGATGCTGATTTTATTGTGCTAGCTCACTGAGATACCATGCCGCAGTTTAACATGAATACCCCACTCAGACACAGCATACTGACTCTGAGCCGACCAGCCCCTATTTTAGACCCTTAATGCCGAAGACCAGACAGTGTAACAACAAGTACCATCTTTTAATGTCTTTTGGTATGACGCGGCCGGGGATCAACCCCGGACCATCCGCACTCTGGGTGGATGCTCTACCTCTAGACCACCGAGGCGGTCCGTCTGTTGGAGGCCAAAACGAGGAATATCATGCTTGGTGAGCCAAATGCCACAGAATCACTTGCAATTTATTTATTGCCTTTTGAACAATATTTCAGTCATATCAAAGGGGTGAAGGTCATAGAAGTTTACAGTTTTTATGAGTAAGTGAGTTGGGTTTAACGCCGCTTGTAACAGTATTCCAGTTATATTGCTGCGTGTCAGCTTAACGTGGGAGGAAAGCCCGAAGTGATGTAGGTCTTAAGCACTTCGGTGAAACCTATGAGCATGGGTAACTCTGCATAGCGAATTGTGGCACCTTAGACGACTAGGCTACCCATGCCCCCCGTAATGAGAAGTACCATCTTTTAACGTCTTTTGGTATGACGCAGCCGGGGATCGAACCACCATTCTTTTGTAGGCAGACGCTCTATCCACCACCACTTTTGACACTGTCCGAAAGTCCTTGTATCAAAGTGGCGATGCCATGGCATAAATCATAACAACATGGTTGAAATAAGTTCCAAGGCCCCGTTCCACAAATCGATCGTAGCACTACGATTGTCATAACTCTATGTTAAAGTATGGGAATTACAATCATCTTAGCGCTACATTTCCTTATAGGAACAAGGGCCTAATTGTCATGCTGGGAATTACAATCATCTTAGCGCTACATTTCCTTATAGGAACAAGGGCCTAATTGTCATGCTTAGAAATACTTTTTTTACCACAAATATATTTCAATGATGCTTATTATATGAATCTAGTGATAAAAGTTCTTCCACACAGCAAACTGGAGATTGATAACTTTAAGACCTTAATGCACAGAGGGATTCATAGACTAAACCTGGGCTTTGGACATCAAAGCTCCATGAAGAGGAAGGGGCGAAATATCTAGAGTACAACTGCTTATTATCTAGCTCATGTTGAAATGACATTCATCAAGTATGAAAAGGATCGAAAGTATTATTCTTGGTGGCACACTTAAATTCCAAAGGGCACATCTAAAAATCTAAGACATCTCGGTGGCATACTTGAAAAAATGCATCTCTCCCATATTACAATGTATCCCAAAAACTCATGCTAAGCCAATTGTAAGTACCGTATTCGACATAATAAGCGCCCAGGGCGCTCTCAAAATTAGAAATAGGGGGCTCTTTATGGAATATTATTTTGGTGAAAAACAACAGGGTTAAAAGATCGTGGTTTATGCTGACAGCCTGAAATACGACGGATGTATTTTTCCAGAATCTAATTCACAATTAAGGATGCATATAACACACGTATTATACACGAATAAATAAGTCTTGTGTATATTGATCAATCGGAAGGGGTGCTAACTGGGATTGTTCACTAGCCAATATATTAGCAAATATCGCCGTGGGCGCTTATTACGTCGAATACGGTAATTTCAGCACAGACTTTTTTGTATTTCATGGTTATTGAATTTCTTGCCAAAAAAACAAGTCAGTAGCTGAGAAAAAATAGTTTATAAGAACCATTTCAATTATTTTGTTTTGTACTTCAAAAAGTTATCTGAATATACTATCATCCATGCAGTGTAGAATATACTATCATCCATGCAGTGTAATAATTTCTCACTGAGACACTGTCCCGCTGAATGCGGAGACAGGAAGTAACAGATTTCTCAAAGGCTGTGATTGGATGACACAAACATAGCATCAATTGGTCCTTGGTATGGAAATTAATAAATTGCATATGACATAAGATTTGTGAGGTAAAACTTACCAAAATTAGCATCAACAAGACAGACTGTTATCATTTTTCAAACAATCAGGAAGTAGATATGTCACTAGGTTTATTGCATTCCTAAAAAAGGACTCTACACACGTGCACCTACAGCCACAAACGGTACAGATTCGTACATCTGTTTGCCTGGCACCTGATGGCTAAAAGCAGAAAGTTTTGTTGCATCAACCACAAGTGGAACCACTTTAGGCCACACATTTTTTATTTTTCGTTTCACGTGCAAGCCACCCTTACTGAAAAGCAGCTGGAAAAGAAATAAATTAAACATAAGGATTTATTTTTATTATGTCTCCCGCTTGTAACATAGACCTCTGATACCAAATTATATAAAAAGTTAAATGTAAATTCCATGTCTACATCACTATCAGTGATTCAAGAGGCCAGCTGCAGTTTTAACTCCCTGGCAGAATGATTTTCACATAAATAAATAAATTATTGACATCACTATTTACTTTTGTGTGGAGAAGCAGGAATGAATCGGTGAAACATAATATTAAGAAAGTGTGGCCTTAGTGTTAGTGAAGCTTGTCTTGTCAGAATAACACCATTGAAGTCTAACCTATTTACTGGGCAAAGCAACAACCATTATGCATATTTCTTTTGCGAATAAGTCTGCATTTGTGACATGAAAAAAAAAAGCTTTCAGAAATGTTTTCACTTCTCATTTTTGTTAGGTCTGGAATCAATACCAACTTTAAAAAACTGCCTCGCCTTAACAAAATGAAACAGTTTTCCTTCTCTTATCACATTTGTAATGTAAACGAAGTAAACAGTTGTCAACGTTTGCGTGCAGAGGACTGAAATTGTCTCCAAGCCAACCTGGCACAGAGTACCACCTCACTGATCCGTACACTTGTGTTTGTCTGGGTAAAATTGTCTGGGTAAACAAGTTTCTGGATGTCTGAATCCCTTGTTAACTGACCAGAATTATGTCCTCTACCCAAATTCAACCGACGCATAAAAAATTCTATTATATACCCTGCTGACACTCGGTCACCATTTTGTAGTGCATGTTGATTGATCGGATCATCTCAAACCTCACATAAAATTCACGTGACAGTGACTGCCCAACTAGTGATCTATACGTTACTACCTGGGGTAATTAACGAGATCACATGATACCCGCCAATTTTATGTTTGAAGCCAGGTGATTTGCAAAACAAACATCATTAGAAAGAAGCATTGTATATAGTTTTGTTTTTGTTTTGTGAATATCGTCCAGTAGGCGAGGTTTCCGGGTGTGCGGGTCTGGGTAAGCAGGTTTCCATTGTACTTAAGAAATCAGTTATCTTCATTATGAATCCATTTGACAGAGAAAGGTGTTGCATCTGTTGTTTTTTGATTAATTGTTTGGGTTAATTTTATTTTTAGCGGGCTCCATTTAAGTTGTAAAGGGAATTAACTCTTTCTTGTTGTTGGTATCACTATATGCAGGAGACTGCTGTGAGCGGGTGACCGTAGAGGTTTAAAAACGGTAATTATTCAATTAAATACAAAACTTCAGTAACCGAGAAGTACAACATAATTAATGTGACCATTTATTTTAATATTTGTGTCTAAATATTAGTATATTTCATGTCGTTTCTGCATTGTATTGCAGTCAATCAAGCCTCAAGCGCAATCTCAGTATTTGTGGCAATGGCACCCTTTAACTAGAACAAGTGTTAGAATATGAGACTAAGAACTAGAATAAATTTGAAGTTGCAGAATGTTTTGGCTTCCTCAATCCTCGAAACCCACAGCATCATCTTGACCACACAGCTCGCCACTGACATTAAATACACTGTACATTGAGATTATAATACTTGCATGTGTGTCACACTGATTTTACGAAACCAGTGTCAGAATTCTTGTACTTCAAGAGGGTAATACATGAATTCTTTGAACAAAACAATGTCATTTAGAAAGTGGGATAACATTTTCTTAGTAAAACACAGATTCTAGTACTATTTGGAGATGAGTCCCATCAGGGATTCAAACCCACACTGCCAGAGTGAGGCACCTAATCGCCAGCACACAAAGTCTGTGATCTAACGCACCCAGCCACTGATGCTTCCACAAAATGGACGTCTAACAAGTGTGAAACAATTTTTCAACAGTACCAGCCAGTCGGCCAAGCTACATACCGTATTCAATGTAATAAGTGCCCTGCCCTAATTAGCGCCCACGGCGACATTTGCTGATATATTGGCTAGGGAACAATCCCAATTAGC